CTATTGCCTGAACCGGTGCAACGCAAAATATGGGTCATGCTATAAATACTAGTGCTTAAAGTAGAAAAAGCGATCTGCTTACCGTTTGAAGCTGGAGTGCACGCTCAACCATAGCGAGGGTAGTGGCTGGACGTGTTTGAATATCCAACACCGGCATGAGGCCATTATGGTGGGATATCTGGAGGTGCTCCACAATTGCACAGAAACGTGCACGGTGGGCTGAAACCCTGATAATCTGTCGAATTATAGCACGAAGCTGGGAAGAGGTTAGATACACAGGATTCAGATATCGGGTGGAGGTATACCTTGTTATAAGTTGTGCTTGTTTCATTCATGGTTGTTCAGCGTAGGTGCGAGTGCCCAGCAAATATACTGAGCCTGATCACGCTAGCGGAGTCAGGAATAATGACTCTGTTTGTCCGACTCAAAAGCAAGCATTATTATTAGGACCAGCACAAGATTATATTATTTTGGGGGCAGTTCAAGCGTCTCTGAGCACTTACAGACGTACTACAATGCTATAATGTCTTGTAAACAATAGAAAACTGTTTACATACAAAGTATAAACCATATAGGCCCACCCGTACACTTATACAGTATATTATACAGTTGTAAACACATAAACTATTTACGTACACTATATGGTTGGAGCCCTAAGAAGAAGCTCCACTGGAAGAGAGTTGATATGTGCGCGTGCAGACATCAGTTTGTTTTTTCCTCGGCTGTGTTCCACGCTCAGCAGTTACGCCAAATTGGAGCATCTTATACATACCATCGACTCAATGCGCGGACAGACTGAATATGAAGCCGCGGAAGCTTTGATTAACTCGATGAGACGCTGTCGTGGAGTTGAGGTGCAAAAATAAATAGAAAAAGAGGGCGCATCACGCGACCGCGAGACGCGTCTGATTTGTTGACCGGTATTTGGTTGAACCCCTGACTGCAATGTGCACAAGGACGAAGCCTCGACGTAGGCAGTGCCAGCACTATCTTGTTTCACTGAGAAAGCCATCGTCTGTCTGCGAAGTTGGACGTAAACGTTAAGCGGATGTAACTCACACCGGAACAATGATCCGCTGACTGTAAAAATGATGCGCACATGGACGTTGCATCAAAGCAGACCACTTTTGGGCGGCACGTAGCGCTTCCGGGGACGAGCAAGCTCACGAAGGTATTACCGGACGCTCAAGCGCACTGCCGGAGATTCCATAAACATTTCAAGAGGATAATCTGGAGACGAGCTGCGGGTAGAAAGAGTACATTCCTCGATAGGGACACGAGGAAAAACAGGGGAAAGCCGGGATGGTTGGTTGTATGGGTCCAAGCAGGGAAGCTTAAGGACGGCAAGAACAATATGCCATTCAGCGACTGGTATGATACCAAACAGGCATTTCCAACGGTTTCAGGATCAGGCCTGTTGCTGGTGGTCACTTGGAGATTGTGGGTCCTTGTTTCCTCCGTATCGCGAGAAAAGCTCATCCACTTACTTTCTGTATAGTTTGCTTTATAAAGTACTCAAGGCAGTTCTCGGCTACGTTAAATTCGGGAGAACATGCAATCTTCTTTACTTTGGGATATTTTAACTGATTATTCGAGTGCAACAATGGAGAATGTAACATTGCGCTCCAGCAAACTGTTCAAAACGTTGAGATCATTTGATCATTAAGTCGAGTAAGACATCATATACATTTATACAACAAAAAATTCGACACTATGCCATTATCACAATCTGCAACTCTCGGCATTCTTGAGCAATAGAAACGGAAGCAGTTCGACACTCATGAACTCCAACTGAACGAGGGTACGCGCGCCTCGAACCAGCTCCTCAACTCCGCCGTCAGCTCCGGACCATTCTTGACGTCAATGGACCAACGTTCCTGAGTCGATGGAGGCCCTGCAGGATATCGCCTTTCTACCATGCACTTGAACGCCTCTGCAGTATATGTCGCACCTGTTACCAATAGTGCCCGGAGGTGTTGGTAACACGCGGGATTGCCGTCCGTCAAGTCCCGCAAAACCTCGTCGTTGAAGCCCGGGCAGTCGGTAATGCCCAGGTTTTGTCCGTTCCAGGTCTTTAGTACGTTGAGCATCGAGGAGGCTGAGGCGATTCCTTTAAGACGGATAAAACGGCTTCTGATATTGGTATCTGGCAAAATCTCGCACCGCCTCAGAGTTAAGTGTCCGAGAGGCTGGGAGACACAACGGAAGAATGTAGGGATGAACGGCCCGTCCATATCAGCAAGATCCGCGGATTCGAAGTGCAGCGGGGTCTCAACGCGTGAGCACCATTCGAAAGACTGGGGATCAAAGGCGACGTCGAAAATCGTAGGTCTGATGTTCACTTTTTCATTGAGGAGGCTCAGCGGGATCAGGAGGTCGAGGGCAGACATGAGATGTGAGGGCTCGGCGGGATGGTATCTGGTGATGTAGAGGTGGAGCTGTATGTTATACGTCGACCCGTCATCTTCGTGCCTTACGCCAATTGGAGGCCACAATATGTCGGCGCGACAGAGATCCCCAAAGCTTTTTGCATCAATCCTCAGAACGTCGACCTTCGAAAGGTTGACTGAAGTGATGAGAAGAGGCGCGGTACTATCCACGTTCCAGGAATCGAGTCCAAGCCAACGCAACTTGCCCAAAGAGGCTTTGTTCAGGTACTGGCTGACGACGACCACAGAAGAACGGTAAGCAGTCTTGATATGTAATGCTTCAAGCCTCTGGAAATGTGGCTGTGCATATTCCATGACTTGTCGAATGCGATCGTGTTCTTCAGCAACAGTGATGGTAGGGGTAACGCGATGGTCGGCGAGGATTTGGATGGAGATACGGCTGTCGCGGGTGGCATCAAAGAACGCGCGGACCACAGGGATTACAAACAGCTCAGGTTTATCTGGCCAGACCGTTAGTAGCCTCCAGCAGGCGGGGTCCATCGCGACCACCTCCATCCATCTCTGGCAGACGTAGGGCAAGTTGCTAGCACCGCCGAGGGAGGACGCTTCTACGAGGCGGAAGATCACAAGAAGAATTTCCGTAGGTAGATAGTTGACATGCGCGCTTATGACGACCGGAGAGAGAAGCTCAGTGTCACTGATTCTGCAATCTTTCTTCACGTCCGTGTGGCAGTTAGCATGACGAGCCTGCTCCTTTCCCGACTGTGTTCTACACTGAGTATGGGGGCCCGGATTGAACTGAATTGTACATACCATTTATCCAAGGCTTTCGAACGATGGAGCGCTGGGATGTAATGTAGGCGACGGATGGTTTGCCTTCTGCAATATGGTGCTGCAGGTAGTGTTGACACCCGAAAATTGAAACGAGCGACGCGACTGTCGCATCTGCATTGTTGATCACTGCTTGGCGGAGCGGAGTTTGTAAATACAATATGTCGAAAACGACATGTAGATTCGCTTTGTTACTGTAGATTACAGCCAGTTCTCCTTTTGTCACTTTTATAGTGATTATTGCTATTCCGGGCTACGAATGTGCCACCCCGCCTATCTACTACGATGTTGTGCGTAGGTTTGGCATACAGTAACTCGACAGGGGCTAATTCCGGAGCTCGGCCCTGTACGGTGTCGTGCGACGCGTCGGACGCTTCGACGCTTCTTCTTCCCTCCCCTCATGATTTTGAGAGTTTGAGGTCATATGCCCCTTGATGCTCCCTCAGGCCCCGTCTATCTCTCATCGCTCGGATGGCATCTTCAATGCTGAAAACGCGCAAGGAAACCTCTTCAGTTGATAAGATGAAGGGTCGTCTTAGTGTCGCGTGCAGCCTCGGTGAAGATTGATGATGGCGAAGGGTGGTACCTTGGATGGTACGAGTTGGGCTACCCATTTCGCTCGTAACGAGCGTTACGAAGCAGCAAGTTGTCAGTCAAATAAAGCTCAAACTCACGCTCGTGGTGTTTGACACCTTCGTTTTACATCATATAACTACCCATCATCCACCCACTACCTCTCCGCGTCGACTCTCGCCATGCTTTCTCAACTACCTGTCCTAATCGCACCCTTCATTCTGGGAGGTGTATCACTGGTATCGGCTCAAAGCATGCCATCAAACGCATATACCCCGCTTTCCGAACCATGTCCTGCCGACTTCGCTCTCATTCGGAACGCAGGCGCGCCTGGGAATCAAACTCTCAGCGCAGGCGAGCGGGCGTACATTTCCGAGCGCAAAACTCGAGCCTTGCCCAGAGCATGGGCGGAGTACCTCGAGAACGTCCAACGCGCGGGATCAAACGCGAAAGCTACCCTCCCTCCTTACGTCTCCGCCATCCTCGACAGCATTACCGACCAGCCAACGCTCGGCATCGCTGTGAGCGGTGGTGGCTACCGCGCCGCAGCGTTTGGAGCGGGTGTGCTAAACGCCCTGGATGGGCGTAATGCGAGCTCGGCAGCCACGGGACTAGGTGGGTTGATGCAGGCGGCCAGCTATCTCACCGGTTTATCGGGCGGCTCGTGGTTCGTTACGTCGTATGCGCAGGCGAACTACCCGCTCGTCCAGGAGCTTGTCTTCGGCCCCGACTCTTCGCGGGCTGGAATTGATGCACTGTCGATGGATTACGGAGGGTGGCTCGCAAACTACAGCTTCGAACAGCCGAGCGACAATGCAACTGCCAACACCTTCTTTGCGACGACCGTCGTTGAGGAAATCGAAGGAAAGAAAGATGCGGGGTTCAATGTGACGTTTGCAGATGTCTGGGCGAGGCAGCTCGCGAGGCACTTCGCAAATGGGACAACGCAGGTGAACTTCTACGACGAGAATGTGCCGCACGGAGCTGGGATTACGTTGTCAAGCGTTGTAAATACGTGCGTGTTAGCCTTCCGTTCGGTGCGTTAGTCCTAACGTTGCCCATTGTCTTCTCCTATGCATGGATAACGTGAACTTGGGGATCTCGACGTGCTCGATTCACACAAAATAGTTCAGCATTCACATCATACAGCGCGCCATTCCCCATCGTTGTCACGGACCTGTACCTCCCCGGCCTAGGCGTCCTCTCCACCAACCCGATCTTGGAATTCAATCCCTGTACGCTCTATCTCCCGCATTCCCTTCAGTTTTGCCTCTCCCTTCTTTTCATCTCCACCCTCCACCCTCTCCACTTATTCAATGCCTACGAAGCTGTTCTAATACTGACTTCTGTGCCGCTGCTTCGGTAACCGATCAGATGAGATGGGCTCGTTTGACCCTAGCCTCGCTGCGTTCACACTAACTCAGTACCTCGGTTCAACGAATGAAAGCGTATGCGTGACGAATTACGATCAGGTTTCGCGCGTCGCGGCGTCTTCGTCGGAGTTGTATAATATCCTCGATGATGCAGTATGTTTTCCCGTCTGTCTTTTAGATTCTACATGATGACTTATCGCGAAAATACAATATTTGAAATCTTACGAACAGGCGCTCGCGTACATCGATGGCCCTCTCCTCGAGGCATATGGCGAGTTGATTGGAAACACATCTGACATGTTGTATGCCGAATGGCCGAATGCGTTCTATGGGATCAACGGCACGGGCATCTCTTTCCCGGCGACTAACGAGAGCTATCTTATGCTAGTAGACGGCGGAGAGAATGGGCAGTCGGTACCGCTCCAACCGATGCTTGTCAAAGCCCGTGGGGTGGATGTTATTTTAGCTCTGGATGCGGTGAGTAAGAATGCGATTCTCACTAATCATGAACTAATGTTGACTGTGATTATAGGATCCCGATACTGAGGACGGTTGGGCTGCTGGAAGCGCGTTGATCGTAAGCAGACCATTAGTGTAATGTCTACATTAGCACTAAAATGTCGATATCAGGCCACCCAAGCATGGGCATCCATTTATCCCGAATCCTATACGTTCCCGCCCGTCCCAACAAATATCTCCGAGTTCATCGCACAGAATCTCTCCACCCGCCCTACCTTCTTCGGATGCGAGGCGACATCGTCGAATGCTTCCGCGCCGCTCCTAGTCTACCTCGCGAATGGCGGTCCGCCGCGCGACGGCTCCCCGCCGCTGATGAACGTCACCACCGTCGTGCAGTCCCTCGAGCTTGACGAGCTTCAAGGGATGCTCGACGAGGTATGGGACACGGCTGTGCAGGGATACCCGCTCGTCCCAGGCTACATGATCCCGAGCGAGCAGGGGACAGAGGTTCTGGTGGATCCAGAGTGGCCGGTATGCCTGGCGTGTGCCGCTGTTGAGAGGGCAAGGGCGAGGGCTGGCTATGCGAGGGAGGGTGTTTGTGTGGGGTGCTTTGAGAGATACTGTTGGGATGGCAGTATTGTGGGGTCAGAGTAGGAATAGGAGATTGGGTGAGGGCTTTCGAGTCGATCGTTTGGGTGGCCCCGCTGACCACCGCATGGCAGGGTACCTTGACCCGGACATCCCGGATAGTCCAGCCGTTTGTCGATTTCTCTTTGTGGCGTTGCGGGAAGCGGTAGCTCGCAGCCACATGGTACGCTTCTTGTAGATAGGTGAAAGTTTGAACCCTATTACACGCGTTTCTGACCTGCTGACACAATCTACGTCCTTTTTCGCAACGGGAAGCAATGACTTATGCTTCCTACACCAATCGCAGGTTCACCCGAGGCCTCATGTTAGATGGGTGACGGCAGGTTTACGAGAACTCAATCTTTTTTGTGTATTCCCCGACAAAGGTAAGAGCCAATTCGGTGTTCGTGTGCACTAGATCATCCAGCAGCCGAGGGCTGGCTTGGAGCGCTGATTCAGACCTCCGAACGCCCATTCTGTTCATATCAGTGCATTCCTCCTAATATCTGGCGCACTTATCGGACGTCCTGAACGTCCTGCGACGAATGGATAAGACACATTATCTCGCTGCAGTTTCAGTCGGGAGTTGGGCCCGAGGGAGCCGTATGGCGGCTGCTTCTCGTCCTATGTATCTATGGCATATCGAGGAAGTGGTGTTGCCATACGCAACGGAGATCGCCTCTCGATCTTGCCCGCCATCAGTGGCCAGCAGTGCCTCGGCCTCGAAGAAGTCGCCCTGGCGGGTAATTTTGTCTACTAGTACGGCGAATCCGTTTCGTTACCTGAGCAACGTGCTGATTACCATGAACAGGTGTCATATTCCTCTCGAGCTCGTCCTCGTATATGCTGGTACCCACGGACGCGGATTTTTCCGTCGCCAGATTTTGACGGAATGCACCCTATATAGAGTGTCCGGCGGCAGTCTCGGTGGTTTCGTCGTACCTTGTCTTGAACGTCCCGGGTGCTCGTGCCGTACCTAAAGACACGCGACACGTTTGCAATCTCTCTGAGCCCCACACCTCTTGATACCAAGCGTATCTGTACATCCGGGTCCGGCTTCCAGGTACGCAGAGGCATTCTGGGCATGATTCGCCGTTTTCCTGATGCTAATGAAGGCACAGTGTGATTCTAAGAAACAATAAGCTGCGCCAAATATTCCGATCATCTTGGGAATTGATTGGCATGAATTCTCGGGGCATTCCAAACTGCGCTCGGCTGCTGTCGACGGTGGCGTGGTGCCAGTGAGGATCCTCCTCGGACAACGTTCCTTCGCTACTTTCGTCGCTCCTTGTCACCGGTTAACCCCGTTCCAGCATAAACTACTCTCAAAATTAACTTCCATGAGCTGGTACACCACGTTTCGTTATCCAACAGCTCCTCGTTGTGATCCAGAGCTGGGCTAGTCTATTCCACTGTCCGATCAGGGAGGATGCCAGAACCGGGTTCCTCTCACACCACCGCGAGGGCTCACAATGACGTGCAACATTCCAAAATCTCGTTGCTGTGTCTCAGTCTGCACGTCTCCGCCGATGCCGCCATACTCCTGAGTGCTCATATAAATCTTCAAACCTTCCCCACTCATCCACTAGTGTCTCTTATTCCCTCTCCGTACTACCCACACGCTAAGGGAATCAAGTCCCACCTTCATTATGTCGCACATCCAAAGCGCCGCCTTTCCTTCCACTTCTTGGATTCCGTACCTCTTTCTTGCATTACTCGCACTCTATGTTGGATCTCGTGTCATCTACAACCTCTTCCTCTCACCTCTTAGCTCGATTCCAGGCCCATGGTATGCCGCGGTGTCGAACCTATGGATGACGACGCATGTTCTACGCCTGCAGCAATGCAAGACCAACCACGCTCTGTTCGAGACATACGGTCCCGTCGTGCGCGTCGGGCCGAACAAGGTCATCTTCAAGGACCTCAGCGCTATGCGCAGCGTCTACTCGACGCACAAGTTTGACAAGAGTTCCTGGTACAAGGGACTTCTGACGTGAGCATTCTACATGCTACCTATTTATCGTATCTGACTGCCTCTCTAATCTAACAGAAACGAGAACGATCATGCGTATGTCTTCAGCGCGCTCCGTAGTGTATCCTCTACTTATCACACGCTATCAGTATGACCACTCTAGACCACGCCAGCCATGCCATCCGACGCAAAGGTTACGCACCTCACTACGTTCCCGCCAACATTGCCATGTTTCAGCCTGAAGCGAATGACTACACAAACGAACTATTGAAGGTCGGAGCCCCTGTTTCATATATTAACTTTTGCTGACGGTTCTTTGTCAGGGGCTGGACCGGTTTAATGGTCAGGTCGTAGACTGCCTTTCCCTCTTCAGGCATTACATGGTCGACATGATCATCACCTCGTCTTATGGCTACCGCCAAGGTTCTATCAAGAAATGGTTTTCCGGAGAAGAAGATCCCATGTCAAACGCCATTGCGGACTTCCCGAAACGGGGCCTTATCGTGAGCACCTATCGGCCTCCCCTTGATGTCGCGGCGCTAATAGCATTCCGCAGCGTAGTGCTATTCCAACATGGTTTTGGGACCTTCTCTGTCAAATTCCTGTTAGGCGCTGGCGATTGCTGTGCGACTCTGACAGGATCATGGGCGAGGTACGCGCTCCAATAGACCACGCATGATTCATACTCACGAAGTTTCGCCTTAGTTTGTTGGCGCTAGGGTGTATGATATGCGTGCTCAGGTCAACGCGGAGAAGCTTCACGAGGTTGAGAAGGTTCCCCTACTTCAGCGTTTGCTTGGGTATAAGTATACCTCCACGAACGAGAATATGCCTGACCATGATATCATCTCCGAGCTCATGGGGCACATGTAAGCCCTTATACGCGTTTCTAGACGAATATTTTCTGACAATTCACCAGGATTGCGGGGTCTGACACCACGTCTAACACTCTATCATACATGTTCTGGGAGCTCAGTCGTCGTCCTGACGTGATGATCAAGCTTCAGAACGAGCTAGATGCTGTTATGCCGGACTCGAGGGCCATTCCTGACATATCGACCCTCCAGAAGCTGCCGTACCTTAACGCCTTTTTGAACGAAGGTAGAAAATTCTCGCTCTTGTCCGTTGATATTGTGGGTCTGACATTTTGTCCTTACCAGGACTTCGTGTCTACAGCGCCGTTCCCAGCCCTCTCGAGCGTGTGGTCCCCCCTTCTTCAAAGGGCAGCCCCTCGGATGACTGCTTCGACCTGATGGGCTACGCCCTCCCGCCTGGCACAATCGTGTCTACGCAGGGCTGGTCCATGCACCACGACGCCGCCGTCTTCCATTCCCCGGACACCTTCCTTCCCGATCGTTGGCTAGAGTCATGCAACAACCCCACCAACCTGTCGAAGATGGCTCAGTATATGATGCCGTTCGGCGCGGGCGCCCGCATCTGCGGTGGCAAGAACCTCGCGCATATGATGCTTCGCATCGCCATCGCATCCGTCGTTCGTAACTTCAACGTTGTTGCCCCGGCAGAAACGAACGCCACTAGCATGGATATCAAGGATAGCTTTGTAAGTCATCCTTCTTCTGGATCTCCACGTTCAGCTCAAGAATCGTCGTTCAGGTTATCTTCCCTGCAGCCATGGAATGCAAGCTTGCGTTCCATCCTCGCTGATTCTTCAGCTGTATACCTTTGTAAGTACCTGCATATTGCATATCAACAGTTAGCTACTCGACAGCTCGTTCCGCATTGGTTTCTTGATACTTTTTGCTGCATTGTTATCGTATACCGCATCGCACTTACATAGTGCCGTAGTCTTCTTGGTCACGCTGGGTAGTACCCATCTTGCATTTTTCTTTTCTCCGTATTTATTAGATTCAGGTAATTGCATGATGGAACGCAAGGAAATTGTATGCCTAGTTGCTTGTACCTCGTTTGTGTTTTCATGGATAATTGAGTCAGGGGTTTGCTCTTGTTGGTTTCACTGAAGGTTCTTGGCCTGTTCGTCTTGCTGCGCTGTTGTTCGATTAGAGTTAGATATCGAACCATCATGAGCGACGAAAAGTATGACGGGCTCCCAAACGCACCTGCTTGCATAACACCGGCCTCCCGCCTGTCTGGCTCAGAATTAGCTCTCAAGACACCTGACCACGGACCACGGCAACAAACGCACTTCAAACTATCAAAGTCAAGAATAAAACAGATATGATACGTTGCCACCAGGTGCTGTACATAAGCCGGGTTGGTCTATCGCACGCATACGTGAGAGGCCTGAGATAGGCCGCTGAAAACAGAGCTTCGCTGAACAGGTTCCCATACATGCATTATCAGGCGCACATATACGGGCTCCGAGCCCGACTTCACTATCTCTCTTTTGACCTTCGACTCGTTCGTCATCTCTCCAAGACCAAGTAGCCATGACAGACTTGCCCCAGGCTATCCACCCGGACGTCATCAACAGGCTCAGGCCTGAGTACGTCAAGTTTCACAATGAACACATCGCGCCCCGCATTCCGCCCCATACAATCCCTTGGGATCCTGCAATCCGCAATGCTCCCGCGATCCCGGGCGGGTCTCCGGTCCAGAAGGTTGGGAGCGTACGGGATATACTACTCGATAATCATAAAATACGGGTCTTTACGCCCTCGGGAAGCCCGCCCGAGAAGGGCTGGCCTGTGTATATTGATATTCACGGTGGTGAGTGCAGTGCTGCCTCTGTGAGATTGGTGGGAGAGGCTAAGCGATGGATGTCTGCGCTATTAGGTGGCTGGACGCTTGGGAGCATCGAGACCCAGAACGCGTTTGCTTCGCGTCAATGCAATGGTAGCTATCTCGACTGTTATGATTGGTCAGGTTGGTATGCTCATTGACCGCAGAGCAAAAGTGCATCGCGATCAGCGTAGATTATCGTCTGGCTCCCGAGCATCCATATCCCGCTGCGGTGGATGACGCGGTCGCGACTCTCTTATGGGTGCATCAGAACGGCAAGGACGAGCTCAGTGCGGACATTACCAGGATTGCTGTTGGTGGCTCCTCGAGGTTCGTCCTTATGGTGGAGGCCCGTTACTTACACGCGAGATGGATGCTGAATATGAGTATAGCGGGGGAAATTTAGCCGCAGTCCTCGCGCTAAAGGCGCCGCAGATGAACCCACCAGTATCCATCGTATTCCAGCTTCTGATGGTCCCCGGTGAGCCTGAATCAGAGAGCTTCACGATAGCCGCAGCTGACGTGCTTGCATGCGCCATAACCAGTTTGCGACAACACAGCGACGATCGAGGGCCCCTATCCTTCGTGGAAAGAGTGTCAGAACACGGTGTGGCTGAGCTCTGGGCGGATGCTGTGGTTCCACGACTACTACTTCCCGAACAAGGAAGACTGTATCAAGTGGGATGCCTCGCCTATGCTCGCGCCGGACGAGATACTCGCCAAGGTCGCACCCGCATACGTTGGCATCATGGAGCTCGACATTCTCCGCGACGAAGGCATCGCGTACGGAGAGCGGATGAGAAATCTTGGGGTTCCAGTCGAGATTAAGGTGCACAACGGCGTGCCCCATCAGATCATGGGCATGGATGGTGTGCTGGACTGTGCGAAAGAGGTGTCAGACGATGCGACTAGAGCGCTTGGAGAAGCCTTCAAGAAGTATTAGATATAGGAGACGAGCGAAGAAAGCAGATATTTCCACTCTGAGGTGATACAAATTGCCGAAGGGATCTGTGTACTGCCTACAAACAATGAATAGAACGCTGTCGAGGGTGGTACGAGGAAGCGATCATTTGTGCACGAACCGGTGTTGCATGGGTGATGTCCACCAGCATTGCATGCATCAAGGAACCAGGAGGGCTCATTATCCTTCCATGTAGATGTAAGCCGTATTTTGAGGTGCCGAGAGAGAATGTTAAATGTGATGAATTGGGTCGTTATGGTCGTGGACAATGCGCGATAAGCTGCTGGTCCCCAGAGCAGCGTCTTGCAATGCTCGGTAATTGCCGACTCTCCTCCATCGCCCACGCGTCTTCTGACAGCCCACACTCTTTCCTGAGGACCTCGCATTTCACCATGGACACTCAAGAGCCCACACAGCCAACAACGAACGAAGCGCGTGGCTCATTATACCAGAGCATCCGGCCATACGCCCAGTCCAAGTTCAGTTCACATCCCATTGGTCCGCAAATGCGTCTCAAAACTTCGGGCTGACCATGAGGACTTGAAGGGGGCCTGCTTTCGCCTTGGCCACATTGTGTATGTTTCTAATTTGCCGTACTCCCCCATAACGCTCATCACAACCATGTTCTACAGTTGGTGCGTCGGCTATTATACCGCACACTGCACTGAACGCTGGCGCCGCGTACATCCCGCCGTTCCTCCAGCGCTTCGGGTTCTCGGCAGTCTTCGGGGTAGCAGGGTACGTTCTCGGGAGTGGAGATGTGCGCAATGGAAGTGGGATAGCTACGGGTATGTCTTCCTAATCTCTCTCGCTGGTATTGGGTAGCGCCTGACGTGGAGCGATAGCGTGGTCTCTGACATACCTTTTCCTCAACCTTCGAAAGAGTGTTAAGGCACCGCGGCATCCGCTCTCGCTTGGTCTGGCAGGTGCTGCTGCCGCATCAGCTGGCCTGTATGGGACAGAGTATTTCCTATGGCAGGAATAAGTAGAATGCTCACCCGTTGGGCGTCGCTGTCAATTATTCTAGTCTCGTCTAATATCATCCACCCTCACTACTCTCGTTTCACGAATACGACGGCTCTAAGGTCTCTACTAATATCAGTACGTGGCGGGAATTCTTCGTGCTCTTCGACCTTCTCCTCGAAGATAACCAGTGAACGCGCTTGCAATCTCCGTTCGGCTTGCCACGGAAGATGGAGTTATTGTTTTCCAGCGTCTTCACACTCCACCAGGTTCAATCCCGTGGTAAGTTCCGACAACGTGCCTGCGTCGCCAACCCCGCACAGTGCGTAGCAAACTACATCGTGCGTTGTCGCCGGTAGACGCCCGTGTGATGAGGCAAGAGGGCGTGACATACCCGCAACCGCGGTGGTCCCCAGCGTCGTCAACACTGCTTGTGGTGGTAAAGAAGCCCGCCCGACGCACGCGGATTTACCAAGGATTTACCCTTCTCTCCTATAGAATTTCTTACCATATCGCCTGGTTTTGTTCTTCCGGGAGTTTGCTCTGCTCCATGATACGATTGCATATGAGAACGCTATATAGCTATCTAACAGAACTTATACGTGATTGTCCTTCTCGCCCCTTCTATGGCACGGGGTACCGGCGCCTGTTGACAGGCTTGGGTCTTCAGAGCGTCAAGGTTGACGTTGCACAGCCGCCCCAGTCGCGACACGCGCCAGCGCTTACGCGTTCAAGTTCGCGTCCAATTCATCAATTTTCACGAGTACCATCACCATGGACAAGAAGCGCAAGCGCACCACCGAGCCAGGCGAACAGACGAGGCAGATCCGTCATCAAAGTAGCGTCCCCAACTCTACCCCAGACAACTCGGAGAACTGGGCCGAAGATTTCTACCATCTCTTGGACCTCTCTTCTCTCTCAAACCACGAGGACATATCCGACCGTTTCGAAGCTATCGCTCAAGCCCTTCTCCATGACTTTTACTTCTGTTTCGTCGCGGATGGAACTGAGAATAAGTTTGAACTCCTCGAGGCCGAGTTTTACCTGAAATCGCCGGAACACGATGATCCGTTCACGCACGGCAGTGATGAGCAGAAAGGAGCGGGCCGGTGGTGAGTGGTGTTTCTATTTACCATAGAAGTGTTAACTTGACACAGGAACTGCGGAGCAGGTACTTCCATCGTACACCTCGCAAAGCTGGCGCCGTTTCGAGTGCCCCCATCATCCCAACGGCCGCAGGCGGGTACAGGGGTGGCACGCGTAAAGGCCTTGACCTCACCATCGGAAGGCCACTACCACCTTCTGTCAAGTCGTCTCGGTACTTCACGCAGCAAAATCCCTCACCTGCCAAAGACCTTAGTTCTGGGTCCACTTCCAGCGCCTTGTCCTCCCTATCAGAAATGACCGGAGGCGTGCTCCTGCGCTCTATCCGTCGCCTCTCAGACGGCAATGTCTCGTCAGGCCCTTCTCTTCTCGTTGACCAGCTCCTTCGTCTTGGAAATGCGAGCAACGTCCAGGACCTTGTCTCGAACAAGTGGGGCGGCGACATCTCTGTGACCGTTCTCGCGCACGATGCACCGGCACCCGCGCGAACCTGCCTATTTCTTCGCAAGAGACCGCCCCCGGGGACTCCATCCTGCTCTACCCCGCCAACCATCTACGCTTCCCCGAGAATCGGCCTCGATCTCACAAACCCTGCGGCCCAAGCCACTCCTGACAGTCCGCGCGTCGCCTTCGTCAGCAGACCGTACCGCTTCTTTATCCACCCAGAGAAGCTCACCGCCTACGGGCGTATGCAGACGTTCATTGGAACCTGCGCTTTTTTGGCTGGCGGAGAGACCAGATCCGAAAATGCGTACGGCAAGGAACTGTCTGCAATTTCCCCTAAGGCGCTCGAGGGCGCCTGCACGTTGATGGCGCTCAAACTTCCCTCAGGCCAGGGGTATATCGAGGCTTTCCGCGAGGGCTACGAGACTATGTCCCTAAAGACGTTCGTAGGTGCGGCTGGGAAGAACGCGCTCAGAAGTACTGGCTATCTTGCCATGGTTGGAGCTGTTCAACGTTCTCTCGAGGCGAAAGGAGAAACCTGACATAGGCGAAGTAAATGTTAGGCTTTATAATTTTCTTAGGCTTAACACGTGTCAAGCCGGGATAGCTCAGCTGGGAGAGCAACAGACTGAAGCGAATAAAGCCTTCTGGAGGTCCCGTGTTCAATCCACGGTCCTGGCACATCTTTTTCTTTTTCTCATTTTTCACCCATGTAAATACCGATTACCCTTCCCTCGTACAGGTCGCGAGGACGGTGAGATACCGAGCGTAGGATCACAAGTTGATGCTAAGGTAGCTCTTCGATATCAAATTGCAACGTTACTACCTGCCTATGATTACATCTATTGAAACAAAGTCCACGACCAAATTGTCGATTCTCCTCGGAAGAGATGCAGTCAACTTGAGGTTGGCGCGACCATTGTACGTTCTGCCACCCTTCTGTGCTGACTTTACTATCTACGAGCCGTCTTCACTGCTTTGGCCGTTTGATAAGCAGGGACCCCGTCTGCTCCAGAGCGCTACGCCACTTCTCGGACCCGGGCCTCGATGCATTCATTTGTGCTCGTAAAATGGGGACCATAATCTTATTCCAAATTCGGTTCAGGGAATGGGTCTACGGGTGCGTGCGTTGCATCGGTTCCCTTAAAATACACGTCATGCAGTGAATGAATTGAGATCATGTAAAATGCTCAGCTGTCCATTGGCCATGCACGTATCACGCGTGTATGCAACTTACGTGAAATTTAAAACGAAGACGCTCTTTATAGCGCATCGTTTCAGCTGCGACGGGAGCATATTCACGATTTGAACGTCTTGTGAACAGCTAGTCATCTTGCGGTTGCCATATTCACCCGCTCGCCCAGATGTAGCTCTCAGAATATCAAAGCGGATTATTGAGTTGCTAGTTTTGATTCACCAAGGAGGTCTCGGATGAGAAAATATCGATACAACGGAACAGATGAATTGTCGACGAAAATAGCCTGACGTTGAGTAACATCATCCCCATGGCCAATATTCCTTCCAGCGACTCTTCCGGCCTTTGAGTACTAGAGGCATGCAGCCTGTTAAAGACGACCGCCATCGATAACCCGTATCTAACGCGTTACACGCTGTATTGTCTTCGTGTCCTTTTTATCTTTATCCTCGTGCCAAGGTCGTAGCATGCCATTTGAAATTTCATTTTATGTCTGGACGTGCAAAGCCCGTGCCTGGTAGTAGCTGCGATAAGCGTATGAGGCCACTGCGAAAGAAGATCCTCGAAGCGACGGTTGAGTCTCTCTCACTTTACTACAGTTTGCCAGGCTCTCTCCAGGTGCTCGATAGGTATAAGGCGCCTAGCCCGGTGATCTGGCTGTATACCCTCGGCTTGCGCAAGAAGTTTCTGTTGAGGCGCCATCGCGATCAGAAGTAGTCTCGCATCGAAATTGGTGGATTTTACGGGCTTGCTCGGTCCCTATTATCTAAAAGCTAGTCCTCCAGAAGCTCCTCCATGTCGATGTATGATAGGTGTTTGTCTCACCGTTTTCTTACGGCTGACTCCAAGTGATTGAGTTCGCGACGATTGCCTGAGGATAAAGGACGATAATGACACGGGCATGCCAAGTGATATTAGTTCACCATAAGTGGTCGAGCTTAACAGCCTTTCCCACTTCTTGAACGCCCCAGATTGGTGTTTTGCTCCTCGAGAGCACATGAGGTCACGGCGACTCCTTTGAGTGCTCTCGGGAGTGCCCGAACTTCTTATCACAACGTGCCCTATCTGTCGAAGCCAGCGATCACTATTTAAAGCGGAGCATCGATAGCGGCGCCTTTCCGTGCGCAGTATCAATGCGGAGATTGTAATCGTGACCCTTGCCAACAAGTGGCTATGTTAGTTCGTAAGTTAAAGTGGCCACCACAAGGTTTCAGATCCTGTTTTGTGTCATACATCGTCTGGCGCGGAGGTTTTGCCAATATATCGCTGCCACAGGCTGGATATTAGGAGGTTCCAAAGGCTCTCCTCAGCTCTCGCACTTTTCTTGCATGACCACAACACTCAATGAAAAACCGTCGAATGTGTTGGGTGAGACATGGTGCCCTGTTGTCTTTTTGTCAACATAAAACTCCTCGGAGTCTGCTCTAGGTCCGTCCGTCTATACATTCATCTCTCTACGCCATCAACGTTTCTCCGATCATGTCATGTTGTGTTTTACCCAATAGGGTCTTATCTACCACCTCGCCGTCGCCTGATGACCTCGCGCTCACCTTTCTAGCTCAAGATGTTACCGGATATCGAGTACGTTCTTGCCTGACATCGCTTGGCCGTATTCACGCAAAGGTGGCCGGCTCGCTTCCCGCCGCAGAAACGTCAGTGTGCTCTCGTAAACAGGACCAACAGGCACCCACGCCGTCGTCACACCGAGAAAAAAGATCTCACTCCTTCCCGACCCGCGAGATAAACAGAATACTCCTGTTCGATTTGCGGCTGAATGGGGACACCTGACGTGTCAGACGTTGCTTCCACGCCCCGGTTTAGCAGAGTTTAGTCCAACTGCTGCACTACCATTTCTGTTATCGTGCTTCTTTTCCTGGCGGCATAAAAGGACGGGATGTATGGGATGAGCACGCCATCTCCTCTCCACCCTTGATTGTTTTCTTCCACTCTCGCTCACTTCAAACCCATTAACATGGTTTAAGGCTCTATGCCCTCGTTGCGCTCCTACGAAACGCAAGTCGCGTTTCGTTAGGAGTGCAACAAGTCTACAGTGTCCGCCGAACACTCACCGCTCCCACCTCGCCCTTCTATTCAAAACACCCTCCATTATACATCTATTCTTACCTTGCCTGAACTCGTCGTTTTCTTACTTTGCATACGTCTACTCCAAACCGCCCTTCTCCCAAGGGCCACTCTGCATTGGGCACCTTGCATAAACTTCCGTGGTCTTCGATATTTGAACAGCAAAGCTCTCTTATTTTTTAAATGCACGGTCAAGCGTAGCTTTCTCATACTAAGATGGGATGAGACTGCCAGTGCGGTAAACAGTCCGTCCCAAGGCTGTAAACCACGTTGTCTGATTGACGGTGCTCATTGTTCTGTCCTTACAAGAACCAGGTTCTTATGTACGTTGGCAAGGGCTGCGGTGACGGATTATAAAATACATAAATTACGTTCAGTATGGATGACTGTTCTGTCATCCTGCTTCTTCGACACCTTAGCTAGTGATTATCCTTCAGTATTTTCTGAAAATTATTACGAGCCAGGCTCACTTACTTGGAATCTTCGACACTACCGTCCCTCAGGTTTCCTGCCAAACTTCTCGGTTTTCTCTGGGCCCTCTCCTGGCGAACTCGTCTCGGAACCCTTATCCTGAGAGAGCGTCTCTGTACCCCCATATCTTAGCTTCTCTCCCGACGCACTCCCATTCCCACTACTATCTGTGCTAGGTGCATCGTACGGATCGTTTCGATCGGCAGTCCTATATTCTTCGGTTTCGGCCCCTGCCTTGCTCCACTGGCCCGAGGGTGGCTCGTGAGGGCGTTGGGCAGCCTCGGACCCGGCGTCGACGCGGTGAGTTTGGGTGTCGGGTGGAGGGTTATGGTCTACGTCTTTGAAGTAGTCGTCTGCGGATGCTTTTCCGCCCGAGCTGTTTGTTGCCATAGTGGCTGTGGTGGTGTGGATCGTTCGGAAGCCTCTCAGAGCGACACGCGTACGGATGATGGAAAGCATTTCAGATGTAGTTGAGGGTGATGAGCGCGAGATGGATATGATGAGTGAGGGTAAGACGACGAGGGTGTCGCGTCTGCTTAAAAATCGGACGGCATCGAGGAGCGGGCACAGGCTATGATGTCATTGTTTACCACTGTAACCGGTATGTCCGGCTGTCCGGGATGGTAAGCCGCTCCCACGGTCCCGGTAGGACCTGAACGAACGCGGTATTAGCCGACATTCTCCTCTCTCCTACAACTCCCTTAGTTACATAAGTGCGTTCGAGCGACAAGAGCAAATCCGCTCCACCAGTGACCAGAATGTGTCGGACCCTTTCGAATGCGAAAATTTATAACCTGCGCGTCAGTTACACTCGAAGGGCGCTCGGATAGTTGACCACAGGTGAGATTAAAAGTCATATGTTGAGAAGTTACGGCGCAACATACAGCAGCAGCATTCGTACAGTCTAAACGGACATTTGAAAGCAATACGCGTTCTAAGGTACTACAGGCCAGGGGAATATGAGAAGCCTCTACTTACCCCGCATGGATTATCGTCCTTCAGGCTGTCTCCCGTGTTTCGACGCACCGTGTGGCCCGTCCTCGGGTGAGCTCAATTCATCTGCATGCTCATCGAAGTAGCGCTTCCGACCACCGTACCTCAGCTTCTGTCCATCCGCATTTCCCTTTCCGCTGGCGTCCTCGCTCGGCATGTCGTATGTGTCCTTGCGATCAACGGTCCTATACTCCTCCGTCTGTGAGCCAGCCTGGCTCCATGGGCCCGATGGTGGCTCATGTGGACGTTGTGAAACCTGCGCGTCGGCGTCTACGCAGTGCGTCTTCGTATCCGGAGGTGTGACCTCGCCTACGTCCTTGAAGTAATCATCTGCTGAGGCTTTGCCGCTCCGTTTTCGAGCTGACTGGGATCTAATGGTGCGGTTATAGGATAGACGGAGCAGAGCATGTCCGTGAACACGAATGAAGGGCACCATGCCGTCGAGAGGATATGTTGAGAACGCGGGGTTTGGACTGATGGTGCTATCGCTGCGCGGTAGGGACGAGCTTTTCCTTCTATTTGTGGACTCTGAAGTAGGTATGTTCATGTGTGACATCATCAGTGTCTTTAATGGCATGCCGATGCAGCCACTCTCGGCACGCTCAGATCTTTCTGCTTTCTGCTTTTCGTCTGTTTACGGGCACTTGTACGCAACCACACCCCGGTTAGCCTTTTCTGTGGGTTTGGCACCTTAAATCAGCAAACAAAAGCTCATTGATCATAGTCGTTCTAAAAGTGACTCAGACCAATCCAAATATCCATACGTCCAAGGTTATGAAAAGCGTACACACCAATTGGCTAAGCACCCTTTTCTGTGAAGACATCGAGTGTGTGGCCACCGTGCACGTAAGTAGGTAGAATACAGTAGCTACATATTTCATGATTCCGCTTGTACAACACTCACTCCTCCGGACTTCCATTCCTTCACCGTGACCTCCTGCATCGCCAGACTCGCACGCACGGGGTGTGGGTCATCGAAGATCTGGTCCATCTCCTCGAGGCTCCTCCCGCGTGTTTCGACGAAGGTGAAGTAGATGACGATGATGCCGGTGAAGTCGACGGCAAGGTAAAGGAAGTAAAAGCGCCACGACACGTTCGTGATCCCGACGGGTGCTGCATAGGTGTTGATGAAGTTGACGATGCTGCCCAATGATATGCATTCATTGAGTTGGAACCAAGCGATATGATAAGCGACTTACTTAAGCCATAGCCCGAGCATGGCCAGTCCCTTGGCACGAGAGTTGGTCGGGAGCACTTCGGTCGGGTACAGTGCTTGAACTACAGGCTACGCTCAGCAGAACGCGACGAACCAGTACCCATCAGCACTCACAAGGCGTCCACACAAACGCGAACGCGACCAAAAACACATATATAAACGCAATCCCTACCAACCCGACCGTCGGGTTTCCCGCTTGCTTCGCTGTGCATGCGATGATGACCGCGACAGAGACGGACATCCACCAGCTGGACCACATGAGGAGCTTGCGTCGGCCATAGCGCTCAATGATATGCAGGCCCGAGAGCGTGGATATCATCATGATGGGTGTCTGGAGGGCATTGCAGAGGAGCTGTGAGCGCTCCGAGGTTATGCCTGCTGTTTGAACCTGGAAATGCGCGTCAGCCTTGTCAAGGGCTGGCGGGAAGACTGCGTCGACGTACCATCAGGGGAAAGTAGTACGATGTCGGAGGAAGGTCCAACTGTCCGAAGAAGCCGATGCAGATAACGAGCCAGGTGCGATATCGCGCTGCGCGGGAGTTGAACCTACAAAACCATGAAAAACTGGGCACTTGATCTTATTGGCTAGACTTACAGCTCCCTAAAGTCCCAGAACTTCTTGTCAGATCCTCTCGTCGAGATTGACGACGCCATCTCCTCCATTTCGAGTGCAACGACTTTGCTGTCCTCATTTCCGTTCGCATGGTACCTATTCAAAGAACGGCAAAGTTAGCGTGTCAAACATCGGCATAACTCTCGATGGGAGACGAAGCAAGTCGAAAATGGGTTTCCTTCGGCGGTAGCGGACGTGGTTGAAGCATTAAAGAAAGTAGCACGCACTTGATAAGGATCTCCCTCGCCTTCTCAGGCTTGCCCTGCGCGACATACCATCGTGGCGACTCCGGAATAAGCCAGACAAGTGTCATGACCAAGATCGACGGGAGACCCTGAAGCGCGAACGGGAAGCGCCAGTTGACGGAGTTCTCGACACTAAGGTAAGAGAGGCCATATTCGACCCACGTTGAGATAACTGGATATCCGCATCAAAGCTGATCCTCAGGGACAAGAGAAGTCAAAGACCCACTAGTACCGAGGAAGAAGCACCCCTGGTAAGCTCCCACCATAATTCCCCGATAGGATGGATGAGCCATCTCTGTCGTGCGTATCTGAATCAGCCAAATGCAGGCTCTTCAAAGAAGTGACGAGAGAACGCACCAACAGCCCAGCTTTGCGCCGAAGGGCCAAGCATAACGGTCCCGATACCAAGCACAATGCGCCCCGCAATCAAATCCCGCGTCTTCTGGGAGCTCGCCTGCACTATTGCGCCAACGAGTACAATCCCAGAAGCGATGAACATCCCGGGTTTTCTCCCCCACCGATCAGCGCACGGCCCCGCTGCGAAGCTCCCGATCACATTCCCTGTTCGCACCAGCACGTCTCAGGAGCCCGATGAACAAGAAAGTGATGAAGACGAACCAATAACATACAGCGCAGCCAAGAATCCGTTCGTAGCCGCAACGTCCGTCCCGAACTGCGCCTTGAAATCCGGCATCGCCGACACCCCTCCGAACGTATTCGAATCAAACCCATTCTGCGCAGAACAGAGGTACGTGACGAAGAGGCATGCAATCAGGCGCGCGACGGCGCGTGAGCGGAAGGGCGTGGGCTCAAGGAGCAGGGCTTCTGCCATGGGCGAGTTGGCTTGTGTTGCGACGACCTTGGTGATCTCGGCTGAGGGCGAGGGTGCGGTACTGTCGCCATCTTTGATAGGTTCTGGAGAGGAAGATCCATCGGCCTTTTCATTGATGTCCGATTCGAGGCGGGAAGTGTCCTCGAGGTAGTGTACGGATAGCTTCTCCTTGCTCATCGTGCGCCTCGGTGTGCCTGAGCAAAGAAAAAGTGAGATGAGTATGGGGAGACAAGGGAAGCGGCACAAAGCGCCCGAACGCACTGATGAGAGTCGTTGTTTATATCGCAGGCAATGGAGCTCGGGACGGAGAAAGAAACGGGAGAGACAAAACAGACCCGTCTCGTGGGAGGTCTCATGCGCCTGGAGGCGCACGAACTCGGACGACTGACGTTACCCCTGGCCTCGTCCTGGTCTTCTTGCGTGCTAAGACGCCCCTCAAGTGCCCCGTGGGGAGAAGGCAAAACAAATGATGCACTCGGCAATGGGAGTTGGCCTATGTTTTGCATCAAAAGCGGGGCACCTGATAGCAGGGACACGAGCAGCTGGCCAGGTGACATACGGACAGGCGCCCCACCACCCGACGTTTGTGCGATGGGGGATTCGCCGAGGTTACCCATCGCGAAGGCGAGGCGGGAGATGACATAGGCTATTCGTTGAACGAAGCTAATCAGGGACTCTCAAAGTCTGTCTGGATGAATTTGACGCACCGCCACACGAGTCAAACGCGAGTCTGTACTTATGGCAAACGACATGAACGTGAGGAACATCGAGATGGATCAAAGCATGGTGAGGCATTGCCTGTTACGTCAGGACGGAGCAAAAGCTTGTGTTTGTTCTATACTTAGCTCTGGCGGACACTGCTTTCGAGATGCAAGACAGACTTGTATGCATTGAGTATCCGAACTCCAGCGTTCGGTGACTAAAGACAATATGATGGTGATGCGATAGTGGAAAGAAAACAAAAGAAAGCAAAAGAGCGACGGAAAGTGGTGGAAAGGATATGGAAGAAAAAAGCAAATGGAAAAACGAGGAAAGCAAACCAAGCCAGAACCAAGCTAGCTAAAAGGGCTGTAGTTATATGCATTATCTGAGACCACCTATGATACTCGAACCTTGGTCCATGCCCACCTGCACATGCAGCCCACCGAACCCCGAGTCGCGTATTATCGCGAATCGTGGTCGACCTCCATGTTCTCGCTCGACCCGTGATCCGGATCTGGTCCTTCGCCGTCGGCCCGAGCATCCGGAAGCATGCCCACCGCGCTCACATCCGTTGCCGGAGCGACGGAGACAGAGGGGGCAGCGCCGTTAGAGGAAGGCGAGAGTCTTGAAGAGGGAGGCAGAGGAACGGACATGCCCTGCGGCGAGATCGATAAGCGGCTCGCAGCTTGGGAGCGGGAACGTGGGGAGGCATTGAAGTGACCACATTTCGGGCAGACATATTCTGCATTCGCAGAGGTCAGTACCGGCGATGGCAACGAGGGTAGAAGGTGGACGTACGGGTATCCTGCCACATGCTCTCTTTCACCAGACCATTATGCATGAAGCACTTCTCGCATATGAGCGCGTAGCGGGAAGTGGCTGGGCCTTCAGCGCTGGCGTCGTCGCCAAGGATCGCGTCCGCAACCTTGTCGTACCACTGCTTGCGTATGGGTCCAATTGGCTGGGGCGTAGCTATTGTCGTTCAGGCAAGTTACGCGTCAGTATTCTCCATCACCGGGATAGAAGAGAGGGACGAGGACGTACGCGAAATCTGTAGGACAGAATTCAGCTTCCCGTTTTGCGGCGTCTGCATCATCTGTGCCGGGTTCATCTGCCTAAGACCGCCCGGAGCTTGAGGTGTCGTAGGCTGCTGCGGCTGCGGCTTAGGCTGCTGAGCCTGTTGTCTCTGCCGCAAAGCCTGGCCCGGGCGGCCCGCAGGTGCGGGTGTAACGGCGTCGTACTTCTCCAGGAGGCTGCGCGTGGTGTAGTAGTTGGTCTTTTTCTTGATCTCCTCGACCTTTTCCCGCTGTTTCTTCATCACTTCGCGTAATTGCTTCTCTGGAGGTGCGTCAAGGCGGTGCATCAACAATGAATGAGTGGCATGACGTACCTTCGGCGTCGCCCTTGCGTGTGTACCACACCTGGACTATCCGTCGCGAGAACAAGATACTGTTGGTAGACACGCACAAGAGAATCCACACGTCAGCTAGAGTTTAAGAGTGCGAATAACGCAACACGTACATAATAGGCCCAACAAGAACCGGCACGCCCCTCACCGCCTTCTCCAGACCCTCTGCCCTGTGCGGCGACGCGACAGGCCACACGCCTCCGTACCACATGCTGACATACAGCGCCCAGAGAGAGAGCGTGACGAGCGTAACCTGGAGCGTGAATCGTCGCTCACGGAGGCGCAGCTCGGACAGGCGCGTCTGCCGATTCTGCACGTCCGCCGCGAGCGACTCGAGGATCTGCTCGTAGTCCTCAGACCCGCTCTGTTCAGAAGTAGAGAAGATTCAGTGGATTGGGGATTCGTATGTAAGAAGAAGAGCGACCTTTTTGAAGAGACTTTTGATGAAGGACATGGTTTGTGGTTGACCCGCACGCTCGGAAGAGCCTGTAACGACGTAAGAGGGAAACGCGGAGCACAGCCACAGCTTCTCTTCCCAAGTCTGTTAACCCTAACCCTCGTGCACCAAAACTGGTGATCGTGAAAGCTAAACTTTAGGTTCGCCTAATCCTCATCGAGGTAACCCAACACTTAGACCCAGCCTTCTGGCGTACCGCTATTCTGAGAACTGAAACCTAAGACAAGGTGACGTGAAATGTCAAGAGACCTCGGCCTCATGTTGCCCTCATCGATCATATTCTTTGAAGGCTCCAACTATCATGAAATTCAAAACAGCGAGCTTCCTTTTCATAGCTGGGCTTAGGGTATGTCGAATCACGGTTCAACATATGTCCATGGCAGGGGATCTTCCAACATAACGCAAGCCTTGTGGATAATGATCGAACCAGAACAGCTAGACACCCATTCAAAAACAGACAACCTTATATAAATAGAAAATTATGTCAGCATGCATCGACCCTGCCTTACTCCGCCAGTCTGTACCGTTGCCTTAGGTGGAGCAGTTGCACATAAGCGCCCATTGTGGGGGGAGTGCTCTTTTTCATCCTACTTTAGAGGCGGGTTAGATTAACGATAAAGTCTCTACCTCTCTCTATCAGCAGTTTCTTGTGATAACGGATCTCACATGATGTAGCTGATCAAACGGTTGTGGTCATGTGTATTTTCCCCTGCGGTTGCAAGTCCAGCTACACGGGCGCTTGACGGGTGACGCCTCAGGCCTCATGGAGCTATCAGAACGGATCGAATTCTTCGCTGGAGTTACCCTTCGCCGCAGCCTCATAAAGAAGGATGGATGAAGCAAGGAATCCATGCGCATTCTAGGGACCGCGCTAAACACGAACATTCGCCAGATCCCTCCGCTCTTCTTCGCGAGGACAGAACGTTTTATTAAGCAGCATGCAAAGATAGAGGATTCCCGTTCAGCGGTACCAATATCGATCTAGAACACGCTGTAAGTGAGTGCTTTTACTGAACCCTTTAAGAGCTTAGGCGATCTGACGAGTTCCATAGAATCGCCCACTGTCACTCCCAGCCATGTCCCTCACTTCGTTAGCTTTCCTCATCTCAGCTGCCCAGGCGCTACCTGCGGGACCCTTCAATGAAGCTTCCGTCGGCGCGTCTATGACGGTTTCATGTTCAGATAACCATCGTTCCTTGTGGAGCATCATCTCTACTTGCCTACTCACTATTTTCGCCTGTGTGTATACATCTATTCACCCCAACGTGCCTAGCCCATACGATGGTCCTCTGGCCATACTACGCCGGACAGCCGGGATCATGCTCGCCACTGTTCTGGCACCTGAGCTCATGGTAATCTGGGCAGCGAGACAGTTCTTGACTGCGCGCAGATTTACCCAGAAAATGAGGGACTGTCTGGCAGAGTATGACCACCACAAGCACGGTACGTTCCTAAAATGGTCAGATGAGACAGTGAGATTGATTTGGTACAGGCACTGATCTCGCTTCAAGGCGTCAGTCGTTTGATGACACAGCCGATAATTCTGCATCGACCGATTCCGATCACACACTTCTGTTGCAGAAGTGCAATAAAACAGCTAGCTGTGATTATATAAACACAAAAGGTCTGTCGCCTGTCGCTACGAAACCGAGCATGTAGCTTGACTAAAGTCTCCTTTAGGGAATGAGTCGTCTGAAGCCTATCAAAGCTCTGCAGTATATGTGGATAGTATTTCAACGACACGAGATGATTCCACTTTCGTCAATTTCGATGCTGACGGCATGTCATTTTCTCGGCACTGTACAGCGTATGACTCATGATTTATTTACATCATTCCAGAAGAGTCGCCGCACGATATACCTCGTCAAGTAGAAGATCTTGGCCAGTCATGTCACACTGCAAGTTTAACAGCGCACTCTGAGTCATTGCAGAGCCGCTCTGAGTCTATCGATAGTGAGTAAAACCACACTGTCATTTGCGACCGCAATAATTACTGTCATAGACTGTCAGAGCCACTCGCCATTGACTACTCAGGAAAGCAAGCCGCTATGGATACGGAAGATAACGTCCTGTATTTATTTTTACAGGGATAAAGAAGGTAACGTCGTAGTATATGTATCAGATGTGCCTCTGCTCATCAACTACGCTAGATGAGACCTGGAATCATGCACACAGTTTCTATGTCTATATGGGCGGGTTCATGAGATACCAGGACGGAAAGCCTTATGTCATTGTAGAGCCTGAAGATATGTTGGAGGCTGTGAAAGACGGTTCTCTCAATCCCGCTCATGTCAAACTAACGGAATTGGAGATCACCGACGCGAGCAAGGGAAAATTCATTTCAAAAGGGCTCACTGTTCTCCAGGTGACGTGGTTCTGCGTACAACTCATTGCACGCCGCAGCTATGATCTCGCGATCACGCCACTTGAAATCGGGACGACTGGTTTTGCGGTTCTTTGCTGCATTACCTATGCACTCTGGTGGGATAAACCTCTGAACGTCAACCACCCTCGGCGCCTCGAATGGACTGCCGAAGCGGGTGTGCAAGATAACTCAGCCATTGAACATGAGTCAGTATTGATGATTTGATTATCCGCGCCCAACTAACGATTAATGTAGGAATCTCCCGTGGAAGGGCGTCTTTCGAGAACTCAGTGATGGTTTTAGAGGACTATTCTCTGCAGAATCGGAAACTTCCTCAAAAATGCGAGTAGCCACTTTCGGTGGTAGCGATATTGAGGACATACAATCAGATTTCAAAGAGGACTTCAAAACGCGTCCTGTCGCTGCCGTTTGTAGACTCATTAAGGAGCAGATTGTGATCATGACTTTAATAAGTGCTTTTGCTCCGACGGTTTTCGGTCTTGTCCACGTCGCAGCATGGCATCTGGAATTCCCCACCCGCGTAGAGCGCGTCATGTGGGATATCAGTGCCATTTTGATTGTTGTTACTCCTTTCGTACCGCTTTTATCGAGTTTCTTGTGTTTTTGCATCGATAAACTCATCGAAGTGGATCTATCGGACAGGTTTTCTGACTGGTTTGGTTATGCCTTCGTCGTGTTTCCCATTATACTATATATTCTCAGTCGCATTGTTCTTATTGTCATCATGTTCACTTCTTTACGTAGTCTTCCTCCGAGTTCATTGACAACGATCCCATGGGCAGAGCTGATCCCGCACCTTTGAATATGCCATATGATACATCACTTTCCTTGGTATCTGTTGGAACTCGGAGATTTTAGTGCTACCAATACAAACCCGGAGACGTTGGGAGAAGACGACGGATCGGAGTTGACGTTGATGCCGAGGCCTGAAGCCTGAAGTGTGAATGAAAGCTGGCGGGGTATATCTCGCCAGCGTTCGCTCTCTTTCTCTCTCCTACTCTCTATTTATCGCCTCAAGTGACGTCTGTTAAAATTTCTATAGATTATAAACCATCTACGCTTCTTCTAAACGAGACCAGCGATGCTAAAGCCCCAGCTTTGATTGAATGGTTGTTTTTTGAAACATCTCTCTCTTATCATTCGTTTATGTCAGCGCAACTGTCGTCAGGGCTCGGTGGCAATCTGCCAACTAGTGGCTCTTCCATGGAGCTCTCTCGCACCTATAATACGCCCCAACTCCCGATTGCTTTTCTCGCTGACGTACCCATCTTTGCCGTCCTTTCTCTCCCAGATCTTAAGTGCTTGCACAAGACTCTGCATTCGACACGTCCGATGATCCCAACAACCCTTCGTACCCATCTCACTCCTTTGCCTGTGATATCCCTCCCCCATCTTCCCGTACCAGCCACCAAATTCTCTCGGTATCGAGTGAGGTCTCACATATGTTCGAATTATACAGTATCTAGGGGGCTAAGTACACGGGCAAGCTATCTATTGCTTCGAGGTGTTTAGATTATTATCGCTGCTCCGTGTGCGTTGATGTTTTGACGTCAACGACGCAAACGAGCTGACTTCCGCTGCCCTGCAAGAGACCAATGATCTGGAACTATTTTTACATGCAGGTCGTTATCGAGGCCACCTTGGCTAATGTCCGTGATGGAGGTTATTCATCTGATACGAGGACGTTAGGACAGGCGATGTTGGGGCTAGACGGCGATGAATTAAATGTTAATCCTGTAATATTCATAGGACAGACGTCTAGATGGGCCGTGGCAGTAAGATGAAGAGTTATAGCATGGGCGAGCATAGATTTAGGCGAAGAGGTATCAACATGTATGGATGACAATGCTATGACAGAGTCGATTCTGACCGCTGTGAGACCACCGTCCTCGAAAAGTGGGTGAAGGGTATACACTTTAAGCGTTGACGGTGACGGGGGAACAGCCGACGTTGATGAGGCCCTTCTGCATGGCGCATCAGACATTGAATATAGCATGAATGGGAGGAAAGGACGTACGAAGTAGTTGTCGGTGCAGCAAACGGGTTTGGTGTTGCAGACGCCGTTGCCGGAGCCAGCGACGGAGATAGGAGTGCAATGCACGCCGATCTGACCGCCGACGTTAGAGATGTCGACGGCGGCGAGTGCCTCGGTCAGGGTATTGCCGTTGTCGCTGGTCTGTATACGCGTTTGTATTAGTCAAAGTGTGGTACAAAGCGCGTTGGAAAATACTTGCCTGCTTGACGGAGTTGCAGCACTGGAGGGTGGCGCCGGCGTCGCATTGACTCTTGGGCGCGGCAGCAGCCAGGAGTGGGAGGGCAAGAACAAAAACAGCGGTGACGCGAGAGAACATGATGGTTGTCGAGTGATTAAGAAGGAGTTATATGTTCAAAGGAAAGCTTAGTGGCCAAGGAATGGCGGACGAAGAAGATGAGGTCCAATGGGAGGAAAAAAAACTCCGATGGGGAACGCGTCCATTTTATACGGTGGGCCGAGCGGCGATTACAGAGAGAAGATTTCATTCCTTCAAGAATCAGGCGGAAGTAAGGGTCGTCGGTGGAAGCGAACAGGTGTTCATGACGGGATCAAGCAGGATCGGTCTCGAACCCTGGAGACCCAATCCGACGGAATGTGGACTCGGCGTGTCGCCATTGGCAGATGTAGCATACATGGTTTCTCCATCCTCAGCGCTCTGTCTGGTTCAAGGATGTGCATCAGCAAGCAAACGTCCGTTCGTTGGCGAAGACGTCCGGGCCGAGGGGTCGGCACACGGAACAAGGCTTCGTGCGCCATAAAAGGGGCATTAGATAATAAAAGCGGAGCATATTGAAGCTCCGCGGTGGTTTGCGTCCACTGAGATGAAATTAAGCAGTGCGCGTCCGCAAAAATTCGTATCGATTGGATTAGTCGCCCTTCCACTTCCTCCCTTCCTCCTCCCTCTCCTACATCCCCAAAAGCCTTGAAAAATGGCACCATCCGCATCTAAGCAGAAACGTCTTGCAGAAAAAGCAGCCAAGCAGGCATCCAGGGTTGGCGCTCCCAATGGTTCCACTACCGGCTCGACACCCACAGGATCGGTCACTGGCAGCGCAACCAACACTCCGCTTACCAGCATGTCCGCCGCCACCAGTCAGGAGGATCTCATTTCGATGGCCAAGCTTCAGATCGCGACTGACCGGTACGTACACTCTGCCATCTCTACCTTGGCCTCCTTATCTTCGTCTTCCCCATCTGCTTCTACACGTTTCGCGTTTATACCCAATCTCCGTTAAATGCCGCATACACTTCTGATGTTCTGACCTTCTCTCCCACTGTCGCATCCAGGAGCGCGGCGGGTGTTCTCGTCTCGGACGTAAAGGGCCGCGACATCAAGATCGATCAATTCACGCTCTCTTTCCATGGTCGCCTTCTCATCGAGGGCGCAGAGATCGCCCTCAACTACGGCCAGCGATATGGTCTCCTTGGCGAGAATGGTTCCGGCAAGGTACGTATCCCAAACCCTTCACCCTGCTCTCTTTACCCTAACCGCATACCTATCCCCCCGTATAGTCCACCTTCCTTCAATCCATCGCCGAGCGCGACATAGAGATCCCCCCACATATCGACATCTACCTCGTCCGCGGCGAAGCCGAGCCTTCAGACGTCAACGCCGTCGACTTCATCGTCGCCTCCGCTCGCGAAAAGGTCGCCAAACTCGAGGCTCGCATCGAAGCTCTCTCACTCGAGGACTTGGTCGACGATGCTGCTCTGGAGCAGTGCTACGAGGAGCTCGAGGAGATGGACCCCTCCACGTTCGAGACCAAGGCCGGTTCCATCCTCCACGGTCTCGGCTTCTCGCAGACGATGATGGCCAAGCCGACTAAGGACATGTCCGGAGGATGGCGTATGCGTGTCGCCCTTGCACGCGCGCTGTTCGTCAAACCGCACCTCCTGTTGCTTGACGAACCGACGAACCATCTTGATCTGGGCGCCGTCGTCTGGCTAGAAGCATACCTCTCGACGTACAACCACATCCTCGTCATCACGTCGCACTCGCAGGACTTCATGGACAGCGTCTGTACGAATATCATGGATCTGACGATGAAGAAGAAGCTCATTTACTACACCGGTAACTACACGACCTATGTCCGTACCAAGGCGGAGAATGAGGTCAACCAGATGAAGGCGTACAACAAGCAGCAGGAGGAAATTGCCCATATCAAGAAGTGCGTCTTCCTTTCCCTGCCCTCTGCATCATTTTTCTTCAGTGTTAACGAAACGTACAGGTTCATCGCCTCCGCTGGTACATACGCCAACCTTGTCAAGCAAGCCAAGTCAAAGCAGAAGATTATCGACAAGATGGAGGCCGCCGGGCTCATCGAGAAGGTCGAAGTCCCCCGCCCGCTCCACTTCAACTTTGAGGACGTCCGAAAGCTTCCGCCACCAATTATCGCATTCAACGAGGTCGCGTTCTCGTACTCAGGCAAGAAGCAGGAATATCTATACGAGAACCTCTCCTTCGGTATTGAGTGCGTTCCTTTCCTTCTTCACAGTCAATGAAACAAAGCTGACGGGGGTGGCGAATGATAGTATGGACTCCCGTGTTGCCATTCTCGGCGCGAACGGTGCAGGCAAGTCCACCCTCCTGAACCTCATCACAGGCGTTCTGCAGCCGTCTCAGGGCTCCATCTCGAAGCATGCGAGCTTGAAGCTGGCCAAATACTCGCAGCACTCGGCCGACCAACTTCCCTACGACAAGTCGCCGATCGAGTACTTCCAATCGATCTTCAGGGAGAAGTATCCCGAGAAGGACGCGATGGCGTGGAGACAGCAGCTCGGGCGGTTCGGCCTCAGCGGCGCACATCAGACAAGTGTGATCAGCAATCTTTCGGACGGTCTGCGGAACCGGTGCGTCGTCTTTTGCTTGTTGAGCTGCATATTTTGGATAGGGCTGATCCATGGGACCTTTGTATAGTGTCGTGTTTGCTCAACTCGCCATGGAGCACCCGCATATTCTCCTGCTCGGTATGTTCCGTATTCCATATTCCACCCCCGTTTCCGCGTCGTGACTGCCGCTACCGTCGCCTGCGCGTGCCTTATAGTGGCGGTGATGGTCACACTGATAACTGACGTAACCCAACTTTAATTTATGCAGATGAACCTACGAACCATTTGGACATGGAATCTATCGACGCACTCGCGCGCGCGATCAAGGCGTTTGAGGGCGGTGTCGTGATCGTGTCGCACGATTTCCGTAAGTTGTCTTGCCTGTTTTTGTGGATCTCCTTTCCTCCGCTTTTGTGCTGTCCCCTCTACTTCCTTTTATGTTTTCGCTGTTCACCTTGGCTTAACTTGTCTGATCGGGACCCTCGCTGACATTTGATCCCCGAACGCGAATGCAGGTCTCATCTCGCAAGTCGCCGAGGAGCTCTGGGAGGTCGCCGATAAGACGATCCGGAACCTTACCCGTGAAGATATCACGATTGTGGACTACAAGAAGAACCTTGTTCGGCAAAGTACGTGATTGCCTCATCTCCGTCGAGATCGACTCAGATCCGGATGCTGATCGTTCATTACAGGTCAGAGTCAGCTCGAAAAGGCCAAACTCATCAGCAAGAATGCGACCAAGGGCAAGACTTAAAAGACCACTGTAACCAAAAACGACGCGCGTTCATCCGCTGTGGTGCGCCGTTCGCTGGCGTGTCTTCATGTAATACTATATTTATGTATGCATGGACTGCGCTGTACGTCCTAGTAGGCTTGCTATACTTGCGCACAGTGTACACGCTGCTCTTCCTGCTCTCGAGCCCCGGGTCTGTCTCCTGTTGTCGCATCTCTTACCCTCATTTTCTAGATAGTTGTAGATCATTCGCATCTGTAATTTCTCTTATTAGTCTATGTTTCAATACGCATGTTTCGATTCGGTGTGTTGTTTTGTCGTGCATGGTTTCATGCAAATGATGCTTTGCAACACTGAGACGTCGATTTGGTGTGAAAAGTACACCGGTCTTGGGTGATTCCCACCTTTCACCTCGTGCAGATGTGACTCGAGTGTGATCTTTACCTCTCGCAATCGCTGACACTGTTCAATTCGGATATTATGGATTGTGGATATTGCTTCATGTCCATGCATGAAGCTAGTGAACCTCTGACATCGGGCACGTCATGGTCTCAATCGACGCTCAAGCGGCTGAAAGCCATGGTATACGTGAAACCTGGATCGTTGTATTCGGGTAAAGGAGATGAGATGAGATATAGGAGAATCAGAGGCTATGGTAAGCCGTAGCGAGTAGTAGCACGTCAGAGCAGCTTGTATGTGTCCCTCGTAGTGATTGCAGGACGACGAGAAATGGATGAGCCTCAGCAAATCTCTATCCACTACCCACTAGTAAATGCTTTACTGAGGATAAGGCGCCTGACCGGGACTCGGGTGGCCCGCAAAGTAGTAGCCCTGCGGAGGTTGTCCGTGGGGAACCGGGCCTTGCCCAGGCTGGCCGTAGTACGGCTGCTGGGGCTGAGGTTGTTGAGGATATCCGCCCTGCGATGGCGCAGGCGACCCAGCAGGAGGCGCGGGCGAGTTAGGCTGGCTGCCCTGCTGCGCCTGGAACGAGTAGCCGTGCAAGTTCGGGTCCTGCCCCGGCGACGGGGAGGGCTCGGGGTAGCCGCCGTAACCAGTCGCGCCAGAGCTCCCTGTGGGCTGCGGGTAGAGGGGTTGGCCTTGGCCAGCGGGGGCGGGAGGGGTGTAGCTCTGTTGCGGGGCGGGGACGGGGGGCTGGCCGCCTGCGTACATGGGATGGGGGGCGACTGGGCCTTGCGGGGGTGTGCCGTAGGGGGTACCGGGCGCGGGAGGCTGTTGTTGGTAGGGGACTTGTTGGGGATATGGTTGCTGGGGGTATCCCTGCGGCTGCTGGGGGTATTGCTGGAGGAGTGGCTGTTGGGTCATCGGTACGACACCAGGGACAGCAGCGGCAGGGCCAGTAGGACCGTTGCTGGCTTCGCGGACGGAGGAGAGCCAGCAGCCGCGGCCTTGGATGGTGCGGATGATAGAGTACAGGACGAGGGTGTCGTAGTACGCAAACACTTGAAAGGTGAACGAGATCAGCACATCAATGTTTCAATGAACGAGTGAAGGATCATACCCATGAGCCAGTTAAGGAAGCTAAACGCCTCAATGGCCGTGATGATGTTACAGATGCTTTGGGCCTGGGGAACTGAAAATTCATGTTCGGTGCGATTCTTACAGGAGAATCAAGGAAATGTATACTCACCTCGGAGGTCGCAGCCATCCGGGTACAACTCAGCCCTGTTACCTACAGTAATACCGGCGGTGGCGATCCAGAGAACCCAAAGGACAACTAGATGTGACGCGAAAAGATAATCAGAGACCCTTCCATTGCACATATTATAGGACGACTCACGCATAAGGATGATCTCAAATAGGATTTTGGAGGTAAAGGACTTGGGGAATACGCGGCCAATGAGCAGACTAGACATGAACACGCGTCAGTAAAGGCCATTAGAGAGATCTATAACCAAACATACAGCGTAGGCATGAGGACGCCAGTGATGACACCGGCAGCTATACCGAGGCCAATGAAGGTCAGGTACGGGCTGCTGCTGCTCTGACCATTGACCAGAGATTCGAGGTAGGCCGCAAGGCCAAGAACCACGATGGAGCATAGCGTAACAGTGGCTGTTTCACGAATCAGCAATCGCGACAGGATGAAAGCAAGCAGAGACACGTACAGAATACGATAATACGAAACACCGGAAGGACTGCAGGCATTGTGAACCAACGCGAAGTGGCACAAGGCGAAGAGGGGTGAGGGGGGTGACGAAGAGGAGAGAAAGAAAGAACGATCGATGAAAAGGGCAGGCGGCAGCGAATTCGGGTGCCTTTTTGACTCGAGACTATTCCTCCTCGACCGCCAAGAGCCGCCAAGTCAACGTTCTACATTCACCGAGCCGAACCAGGGAGTCGGGGTTCTTTCATCAACTTGATGTAACATTCCGGCGTCTATACATGGTGGACATAAATGAAAGCCAAATGCGCGGCTGAATCCGACTGACATTTGTCGATGGCTGACAAGATTCATGTATCTATAATTCTTGCCTGATTGACGCTGTCGTTGACAAGAAGGAACGAGAAGGCGAAGAACATAAGTCGAGCAAACGCGTCGAGTTTTTGCGAGCGAACAAGAGCGCACATGACAATCAGGGTAATGGGCGGTAGGCGCTAATCCTTCGGAGTTTGTGGTGGGTGTTGAATGTCAGATTGACTCGAGCTGCATGCCTGTCAAATGAACGTAACGTTAAGAATTTGTCAAATGTGGGAATTTCTTGGCGTCACCTTCAAAGTCGCGAATGCAGGAAGAGCAGAGACAGGACACTTCGACGAGTGGGTGCTGCCTCGATGGTACCTGATCTGCCTGTTCTTGCGTACCTGTACGTCTATGTAGAACAATGACTTCATGTCGAGTCTGGACCTTACTGGCTTCTGTTTGGGCTGAGTTTACATACTATGTAGAAGAAAAGAAGGTTGAGTCAAATTTAGTCAAATGCGGAACCACCGAGACGGAAGCGTTGAGGTAAATGACAGATACACGCCTGCACAGCCACTTGCCTAATGACAGCCTGCAACGGGGATGAACAGGTCGAGCGCGGATCTTTTCATACACATCACTCTTATCCTTGACGCGACAGTCAATCCGGCGATGAGGGAGGCTATAACATGAAGCGCGCACTCGAGGTCCCCATCCTCGACACAAGAATAGACTTCCGATGAACAAGCAAAACGCCGTCCTGTGTCCCCCAGCCGCATCCTGCCGAAGGGAACACCTTGATTGCAAAGTTCATTTTTGTGCAGATCTCGGAAACATGAAATCCCAGGCTTACATCCACTCCGTCGTCATGTCTCTATCCTCACCATCGTCATCAAAATCTTCCGCGATATGGATATGTTCCCAAACACGCCCCGCCGTGTGCCTTCTAGCCTCGCCGCTGCAATATGATCTCTCCGAAGCGTGAGAAGGCCGTCGAAACCTCGTGTTTCTTGTCCAACTTTTGTGGTCCCCAAAACTGGACTAGCATAGAGACCGACGCAAATAGTTACTGAAAATTGGTGTCCTGCTCTCTGCAAACTTGGCCCTCGGCCTCGGACGAGAATTCGCATTGCCTTCTGTCGCTTCTGATGGACCCACCGCTGTGAGACTCGTCGAGCCACAGCCCCGTGCTCACAGGAAGTAGTCGGCGGGCGGTCGTTTTGTTGGAATCGAACGGACATCCTGTGATATGGACGGTCAGCAATCAGACCAATATCGCTCCTGTGACGCAGACTAGCTGCGCCCAAAGATAGGACGGCGACGGCAACCCAAGGGGAAGCAAGCGACATCATGCCGTGTTTCGCATAGTCCCGAAGAGTGGAAACATATATTGCCGGCGGTGCGGCACTCACCGAAGGTGCGTGTGCAAAAACCTTGTATTCTTGCCCGAGATGCTCGTCCAGCTCAAGAATAGACGCAACGTTGCCGCATCTACGGTTACCACGGTCCCCCGACATATGCCATTGTCCACGTCGCAGTGAGTATTTTCGGGCCGTCCGCAGAGGCACGTGGACAAGCGTGGACGAACACGCAACGCACCAGCGTGAGGTAGCCAATCGTATCGCGGCGCGAAGAGAGAAGATATGATGAAAGCCAATCAGAATGCGACTAAAACTAGACATGCCTCCGCACAGAACGGCGACGGAGATGGCGTACCGATAACAGTAGTTGGGTGCACTCCATACAGTTACGATCGTCCGGTCGAACATGAGCTTGTAGCCCTCCATCGCCAGTTGGTGTGCCCGCGCAATGAGGTCGATCGAGTTGTGGTGAGCGAACATCTTGGTGATGTCAGCGCCGAACAGGAAGCCTGCTCCCCGCGGAGATAGGCCCCATCCTTTGATATCTGTGGTGTTGAAGAGCATGAAATGAGTCCAAGGTCAAAGCAGAGAATGAATTAAGGCCAAAGACAGCCAGAAGCAGGAGAAACGCCGTCGTACCACGACGTAATCGATACGCACCATCTGGGTCTGACCAAAGTAAATCACACATGGGTCCGTCGTGCGGGACCTCCTGCTTTCGGTCTATAGCGCGGATCTGGTAGATCATGAAAGAAGAGCCATATTAGTTGATATTTGCATCACCGATATATTGGTGGTGAAAGGAACAGGCCAGGCACTTTAGAGTGCGACGAGAACTGAGCAAGTCGACAGTGAGAGAAGAAGACTTACTTGGTCGATAGCCTGCAAATTTGGACTGAGCCCACCGTGAACGCAGAATACACGCCCGTCGACAATAGCACCGAGGGCAAGGTAGTCAAAGATCTCGCAGCACCACCTCCAGACGTTGCTACTGCCGTACTTGCGTTGGCACTCGTCATAGAAGCCATACACTTGCGTAATCTGCCGCGACTCGTGGTTGCCACGAATGAGTGTGATCCGCTCGGGGTATCGTACTTTGAGTGCAAGGAGAAGCAGGAATGTCTCAACGCTGTAAAATCCGCGGTCCACGAAGTCGCCTTTAGGTGAGCAAGAGGGACGGGGGGAATCGAGAGATCGATGGGTTGGGTGTATGCGTGATGCAGAGAGAAGAGACGAACGCGAGGAAATCATGAGTACAAGGAGAGTGTGAATGTGTCCCAGAGAGCGGAAGCGAGAACCGCCGTGATGAAAGACCTCGAAGGGCAGGTATATGCGCAATTGAAGACAGCGAAGGTGCCATGGTCGAAAATCGAGGAGGTTTCCGGAATGAGTGTATGCCCGGCGACCAGAATTGACGTAGGTGATGTACCGCAAAACCGTGTTAACGCACGATGTCAAGAAGTATGCGTATGTCCGTGAGTGAACAGCGGTTGTGATGAAAATAAACATGGTGTTGCGGGATGGATGCGCACGATTGTGCCCATGGATGTATGCGCGAATTCAGGTAAAGACACAACATGTATGCGTGGATATGCAAAGTTAAGTTGAGTATATGCGCGAAGATGAGCCATAGCACCAGGCATATGCGGCGTTTCGAGGAGCGGCAGATAGATGATGAGCGGACGAGATGAGAATCGGAATATCACGACAGCAGTGAGGACTACGCACCCATGAAGAGATAGTTTGTCTCAGGACAATGTCCGCCCACTTTGAACAGTTCCATGAGATCGAAAAACTGGCCATGGATGTCACCGCATATCTGTGGGCGCGAAAGCGACCCAGGCCAGCCCATTGCAGTCGATCCAGAGCGAATGAATCCCATCAAACGTCAAGCGCCATATCACGTCCACCGCGAGGATGCCAAGTTGAGAGCATCAAGGACGCCACCACATCAGTATCAAGCCATACCCCGGTTCCCGGCGAGCCAACAACAAGAGACGATGAGAACCGTACACAGCAGGGGAGAACGATCACGCACCGTCACGGGCGAGTCCACGACTTGGACGTTCGCCTCCTCCACCAGGATCTCGCGCGCCTTGAAGCACAGCCGCTTGACCTGCTCCTCGGATATGGGCTCGCACCGCTTCAGCTGCTCTATTTGCCTTTCGGGAGCCGAGAAACGGGAATCGAGGTTGTGAGGATGACCACAAGGATGAGGACGAGGGGTGGGCAGTGAGATTTGATAGGAAGTCGCCGGGAGATAGAGATAGCGTTTGCGATTGGGGTTGGGAATGAGGTTTTCGGGATGATGCGAGGGCGAATGGACGTTGGACGAGTGTACGTGTGCGATTGGATGTGCAGACGAGGAATGGAGCGATGTGTGATGCACAGCAAGGCCGGCCAAGCAGGCAGTGGTGGTGTTGGTAAGATGGACGTCATCCGAACGGACGCATACAGCCAACGCAACGCAACACATACAGTGACGCGTGCCAGGCGTACGAGCGAGTACCTCAACTGTCAGTCTGTGGCTTACAAAGAGCTTGGAATGGCAATGGACATACCGGTCGAGGTCGCTAGGCATTGTCTTTACGTGCTGCTGTGTGTGAGGTGTGCGAGTGATATGATACGGGGGACAGGGGGTAGCGGTGTGAGGTCAAGGACGCAGCACAGGCGAGAAGGCTGCCTTGTCTGATCAACACGCAGCCTTGTGCTGTAAATCCCGCACAGCCACATAACCTTACCCTGCACATCACTTCATGTTCACCGCAAGGTTCACTCGTCTCGATCGATAATGAAAAACATACTTGCTTCTTCATTTGTTCTAGGCGTGGCACAGAAAGGGACGTCTATGTATGCACAATGGCATTTCAGTTTATGCACAATATGATACAGTAGCTAATATCGACAGAGACGACAGATGATGGATTAATACTAAGTATGATAAGTATGTGTTTAGAGCCCAAGAGACCTTTCTTCTTGAGAGAGGCCGATAAGATTAGTCGGCGAGAATGTAACAGTAGATATGGGAGTCGCCGATTAGACGGCATAATAAGGAGACACAGCAAAGAGGAGAGGTAAGAGATATACGATACAATAGAGCACGTTCAGATATTAATCCGGGTGAAGATGAAGAACCAAGAATGAAGTGCGAAAAGCAAAACAGATCCCAGCGACAGAGCAAGCTAATGATGATGCAAACGAAGTATGCTGAACAAAGAAAGTAAAACAGTCCAGAAGGGGTTGACGATGCAGATATATGAGCGTGGACAAACAAGCGGACTTAGACGTAGCTCGCTGTACCACTCCTTCTAATGCCGACCTCAGGCTTCCACGACGCGTTATACGATGTGGGTTGGTACGAGTATCCGCTCCCCATATGGTTGTGAGAGCCATAGGGCATAGGCGAGATAGCCCCCATATCAGGGAGGGAAGGACCTTGCATGCCGCGCATGACGCGCTCATTCTGGATGGGCGCAAGCGTTGGTGGCGGCGAGTCGTAGCGTGGACCTGCACTCTGGGAGGATAGATAGCTGTAGTGGGTGTTGTGGCTTTGATAAGCGCCGTGAAGCTCGACACCGTTGTTGTTGTAAGAGAGCGATGCGCTCCGATTGTGCCCATCGTCCCGGTACGTGTAGTTGGGAGAGTGCGGAGCCGACGCGTGATGGTGGTGGTGGGACCCAACCGATGAGTCGGGCGAGGGCGTGCTCATGGGCGGGTAGGTGTTTTGAGCCGGGATCGCGCGAGGGTCCGAAATGTGAGAGATCGCTAGTCGGGACGACAAGCTCTGTGCCTGGGGCGAGGACGAATGGGGAGAACCGCCGTTGTTGCGCTCGACCGGAGAGTGGTGCGCAGATGAAATTCGCGCGCCGTACTGCTGGGAGGAATAGCCGTAAGCTTGATCCTGGAGGCTAGCAGCGGCCGAAGTGCCGACTTGCTGTGCGGCGGGAGCGTGGGCATATCCGTAGTCCGCCGACCCATGCTCAGTGTAGCTAGGAGGGGAGCTCGCGTAGTGAGACTGGACTGGGGAGGCCATCGTCTGGCTGTTCTGAGCATGGGAGCTTTGAGACAGGTTGGGGTATGGGTTGTGGTCGGGTGGCGACGGAGGACGGCTGACCGAGGGAAGCGATTCAGCGTACATCGGAGGCGCGGACATGACAGGCAAGTAAGCATGCACGAGAGGGGGAGGTGACAGAGGCGGCGAAGGGACGCGGCGAATAGTAGCAGGCTCGAGGGCAGGGGGAGGGGAGGGAGAAGCAGAGACGCTTTCCTTCATGAGGGATCCACTGCGTTTTCCGGACATGACGCGTGCGATGGCGGCGCGCGTTGCTGAGGTCGAGCTCCGGCGGGAGCCAGGCGACAAATGGATTCTGTAACTGCAAGTAAGAGGCATATTAGCATAAGCTCCACAGGTCTGATCCACAGGAAGACGTCTGATAGGGAAGGGCGGAGAGACCACGGGGATTGGGGGTGTGAGTAACTTCCGAAAGAAGCACCACATGCCCCGGACGAGAATGGTGTCCAAGGCGCATCCAGCTACCCTGAAACAGAGAGAGACGGGGACACTTACTGTTGCTGAAGGTTATCCTGTCGCGAGCAACGCGTCTCACAACCGGGGAAAGGGCACTTGTGGTTGCGCTCGCCGGTGTGAACCTTGATATGGCGAGCGAGATGGCCGGAGGTGCTGAAGACACGATCGCATGTAGGGCAGATGTGTTTTTTCTTGCCACCCGTTGGAGGAGCAGCGTGCGAGGTGGTTGGGGATGTCGAGTGGGAAGAAGAGGTGTCTGAGTGGGAGTACGGGTTGGATGAGGGCTCGTAGTCGTGTCTGGTAGTGGGGTGGCGAGGCATTGTATGTGCTGAGGATGTCGAGGAAGGGGAAGTGCAGGGTTGGGATACGGAAATAAGTGACGAGGGACGATTAACGGTGCTGGGTTTAAGTAAAGTCGAGGAGAGCCGGGTGGCAGAGGCGGTGAGGCGCTTCCAGTACGTAAACCAGCGGGAGACAACCTATCATTTCAGAAAAAATATCCTGCTTCGAAATGTCGGACCCTGAAAATATGCCCCTAGGGCTGAGTTTAGACTTCAACCATCTCAGATCTGTTAACCGCATCCCCTTTGCGGACCAGCGCGAGTCCGCTATAAAAGATTTTCGGCGCGGAACCAGTTTGCCGCCCTCCTGCCTGTTGCTCCCTCTTGTCGCCGGAGATCGTCACTTGGCGTCCACCTGTCTCAGAGCACCACAGACACATCCATCCACCATGCGTTTGTGCACGTGGCCACACTTCTCGCTCACAGAGACACTCTGATACACACGGCAAGCCATAGAACCACCCACACGAATCTCCGCATGTCAGATTGGCAGATGCGTTATGTACAAACCCACCAGAAAATATAGCCAGTCGTGCTTCTAGTTCAGGCACGTTGTGCGATTGTGGGGTCCATGTCGGCCCCGTTCTGGAAACACCAGACAGCGCCAGAGTCCCCCCTCGATCCACGATCAGCCAATCACCGTCTTCTCTCAAATACATCCGTCTCTTGATTGATGCGATTCTGACAAGATTGAATTCAATCATCACAACATTCCACTATCGTTCCATTGCTCATGGAGACGTCCGAGCTTCCTCCCCTCCTTCCATGAAATCTTGCTGCACCTCTACCACCGCTTCGACGCCTGTAAATCCGCACTGATCGATTACCCACCATCACCTTGAAACTAGGCAAGAATCGTGACCACGTCGCTTAGAAAGCAACGCAGCCCATGGTTCTGGCTTTCACTGAGCCAGGAATAGTTAAAATTGAACATACAGAAGCACCAGTTCTCCGCAAATGAAAGTCCAGCAGCACGGCGCCTGATCTCAACCAATATTCCCACCCAAATTAGCACGCCCTCTGCTGATCGACCGCCGCATCACTCAACGGCATCGCACAAGGTTCATATGTCAAGTTTCGTGGAGAAGAGCAAAGTGAATTGAATGTACCGGCGGTCGTACCGGACTCGCGCGCGCGTGTGCGCCGTATCTGGGAAGGAGAGAACCAAGTGAGTAGTAACCGAGCTCGCCAACATTGGCCCAATAGCACCCCACACACCACCCAAGTACACGCACCACGCACGACGTCGACGGTCCTTGCCCGTGTCCAGCGCAGGCTTCTCCGAAGCCCTTTCATTTCATCTTATTCAAGTATAAACACGAATGAACCTCGACAGCGAAGTACGCTCACGACTGGACCGCGTCCGACGGATGATTCAATGACGCCGGGAAGCAGCGGCCGAACTCCGGACAGCCGGTGGTGTCCCCCAAACGTGGCAGAGGAAGGCCGAAAATGAAAATATTGAGGCGAGACGAGGCCGTTGCGCATCCGAAATGGTGACGTTGACAGCTGCCAAAGTACTTACGGCGACGCGCTCACCGGCAGCGGTCGTCGGCCGTATGTCATGCAGGTCCCCTTTCCTCCTTTCATTTGCCTAATTAATGGGGCGCACCCGCCTCCGCGAACTCCGACCGATGCTCGCCAGCTGCCTGCCCCAGACCATCTCTCGTCTCCGAAGGCACCCTCGTTTGCCAGAGCCAATTTGGTCTCCAGGCGGCTTCTTGCGGATTGTCGCGCCCCTTGTCGACGAGCTGCCTTCTGTGCGTCTGGAGTCTAGACCCATCCAGCCGTTAGTCATGCCACCCTCTCCTCGTCACCTCTCTCCGCGCGTTTTCGTCGGGCCTTTCACTATCATTCGTTATAGTCGGCTTACCACAGACCCATTGGTCATGCCAACAATAAACGTCTCCGCACTGGTTATGTCACCGTACTCAATAGCGCGCCACTGCCTCTCAATACATCACAATCATATGCTCGCAGTCCCGTAGTTCCGGGAGGAATCGTAAGCGCATGTTGCTCGTTGTGGGTGTCCTTGTTCTTCTTGCCTATCAACCGAGCGGTGCTTCGGGGATCAAGCGTTTCTCCACGATCGAACCTATTCAGAGATCGACAGTGTATTCAATTGTCTGATCACTGTGACCTGCTGGGCGCCAGGGCCACCGTACTTCGGCCCCTTCAATGCCACGCGAGTGTCTATGATGCGCATATATGTATACACTGATGGTGCGCTTCGTCCAATCACGACGCTGCTAGACGGTCTATGCGATCATCGAAGCTCGTTCATCATACGGATCTCGACATAGCTAGACGCTGTCCTCCCCTGAAAAATTTGTTCAAACAACCTCGCTTATCAACGATGCGGAGGTGGCGTAGTGAATTTGGTTTATCAACGTTTATGATGAAGCAGGTGCGCAGCTCGTTGGCAACATACTACGACTGGACAGCGGCGTTCTGATGTCACACAAAGGGGATGGGGAAGCAGCAAAAAGCGTTTTAGCGTGGTAGATGCAAACTGTCAGACGAGCCACGAGGTGCCTGTCAACAAGGCACTGCTGGTAGACACAGAGTTATCTTTTTCACTGTGTAGCCAATCTCCACCAATGACTAAAAAAACCTCAGAGTGGTGACTTCACTCGGCCAATGGGAGGAACGGCCATGCAAGATCGATCAACTTTATTAGCGGGACCCACATGTCTGATAGGACATTGCCGTATTCTTTCCATGCATTCGTAACGTAGTACCGTGGAGATGTCTGATCATATTTCTGTAGGACCCTGAACTGTTTTTGGACTTTTTTAAAAAAAATAAAAATAAAAATAAAAAGTACGACAACATCAAAGAGCTGCAGCACGCTAGCGACTTGACAGACGAGAGACACTTGGCAGAAGCCATCATCGGCGGGAATGCCATGTCCTCCAATGCTGTTGTTTTACGACCCTGTTCGTATACGGAGACATCACCACGGAGGGGGTCGGAGCTCCGACGACTTCGCTTTCCGTGTATCGCAGCGCGCAACACGCACAGGAAACTCAGGGAAATCGCAAAATTTCAGCAACTTGGCGTATATTTGAGTACATCGACATGAACAAAGAAGCTGCCTTTTCGCTCGCAGAGCTCGACCGGTTGTCCGACGCTCCACCAAATTCGAGAGGTTCTGCATTTGACACGACGCGCAAAGAAGCGACAGTCTATTCACTCGAGCGGAGTCTGAGATTGCTATCAATGTGTGAAGCTTGGAGACTATTTGGTCTTATCTGATCCAAGGAATGGAAGAGAAGTGACTCGCCTGAGTGGTACGGGTGGCTCATTCTGAAGTGCTATGACCAGCTATTCAACGTGCATAATTTGTGAATAATATTCAAGACGACCAGGCCGAATTTTGGGGCTCAATCACGCATCTCACCTGGAAGTTGCCGTTGAATGAGTGCCTAATCAAACGACTTCGTGTGGAACTGAGCCAAGAACGGCTTTCGCCGAAGAAAGCATTACACTTAGCTTAGATCTTGCTTGGTAACAGGCTGGTCACGTCGATGTCTTCCGGGTCAGGGAAGACCGTCAGTGTTGCCGCCGGTGAGCGACTTGCCGGCGTGTACGGGGAAAGGAACGTGTGTTTCGACAGAAGGCCTTCCCGAGGCCGACCACCGCAACTGAGCCGGTCTCCGAGGAGACACTGCGCAAGTTAAACGATCATCCTTTGAAAGCCTTTCTTAATATTTGCATTCGACTTGACCAATACGCAGGTAGCGAGACGCTGTGCCTGGCACAGCCTACAGTAGTCAAGGCGCGGCGACCGTCGGTCCTAGGATCAGCGCAGCACAAGGACAGAGGACTTACAAGCGCAATTTTGTCATATACACGCACAAGGTTCCGAGACAACCGCCGGCAACAAGCATGGCTGACGCGTCGATACCTCGCGATCCCCTCTCGGCTATGCGTTCTCGGCGCGCGATGCGTTAGACGCAGTAGAGGCACCGCCGAGAGGCGCTCGACATTGCCACAATGCCCTATCCGACGCGACGAGCCAGCCCTAAAGCCGACGATGATGCTCGCCACGTGCGCACCTTGAAAATCATAGAGAAGCTCGGTGATCTCGGTCGCTGCCCACCGTGACACCGAGCATTCCCGCTGGGCAAGCAACCGGCGGGTTTTGCCCCAGGTCGTCGTCAAATCGTTGTCACGAGCCTACTTGAACTTCGACTTAAACACGAAACAAGGATTTCGTAGTTGCATGCGGCGGGTGGACGAGTACTCGGTCTCAGGAAGGAAAGCAAGTGATATGGGTGTTGGCACATGTCATCATTAAGGCTGGTGGGATGTTGACGTTGCTGTTCCCAACGTAAGTGCCTTGATAATGAATTCCATTTCCTGAGTTGAGTCTTCAGTTAGCCACATCTTTGGCTTACTGTAAGTGGTTGTTTCATTGGGACTATAGCAAACTCCAGATCATGAGATCCATGGCGATAGTGATAAAGAAAGTTCTGTTCAACAATATTCATACCATTAAAGACGGATTGCAGTCCAGCTGAAGTGCAAAGACACTTTGGTAAACGTTGTCCATAGGAAGCAACAGACGGCACTGATACCAGAGAGTGCTTACATCACTCGTATTGGATCCCTGATTCAGTCCATACTCGTTCACAATGGCTCACCGAGGACCGAGAGGGTGCATGGTTTCCACGTGGAAAGTTTCAATGTACCGAGCGCATTTCATCGAGCACGCCGGTGATCGATTGTGGGACCTGTCAGTATTTTATATGCAACGGAGGAGGCGTCCTTCGTCAAGATGCGGTGAAGATCCTAGAACACCGGGGCCGAGGACTCCGTACGCCGTGGCAAGGAATCTATTTCATGGCTTTGGCAAAACATTACCAGCCTAAAGGTCCAGCCCGTACCTTTGATATCACTTGAGTTCACTGTTCAAAGCTATTTCTGAGAAGTCCGATAAGTGCTTGACTGGTTCTGTTATTGGTCTTGACGCAGCAAGCCAGCATTCGACGACCGGGGCTGCGTTATTTGTTTGAGGGTTCGTGCGTGCATGAAAGCCCAGCATGCTCGACGCGAACACGCTGTACGCGCAAGGTTTTGGTTGTCTTGTTGGGTTCTTGATATGTTCGTGATCAGCGGGTAGAGGTTCAGCAAGCCGTTTTCATCGGCAACACCCTTGAACCATGTTCGACATATCTAAACATCCCGCGCCCGCTATTGACGCCCGACAGGTTCCCGCCCTCCAAACTCCTGCCCACTTTCGCCAAGGTCGAAATTTTTTTGAACAAGAGTGACCCACATATGCAGCTGTCGTCCTCGTAAGCGCTAGCTATGTCATGCACTTTGCTCACACGGCCCCGAGACACACTACACTCAATTTCAGCGCTGGTACATGGCCTTCTATGGCCACTGAAGTTGTGCGCCAAATATGCGTGATGAAGGAGGGGGTGACAGAACACGTGGCGCGCTCTGACGTGTGACGTCGTCGAACCCGCAATGGTCTTGTGAGTCCTGTCGCCTACGCAACGAGAGGTCTCGGTCAAGCGTCAAGCGTTCCATTAGACTCTACTATTGAACTTCATAGAACTTTTCAGGAATTTCCCCAGACGCTGAACTGACAGGCATAGTCGGCCTGGTTCTTCGAAGCTTGTACTTGATCTCGGATGCTGCATCGACCATACTACACGTTGCAGAAATGTGGCATCAATGCAGCCTCGGAAACAGACGCGAGGTCTTCTCGCTGGCTTCCTTCACAGGATAAAGTAGGCTGGGTTCTTGGGCTTGACAAGGGTTCTGACAGCTCGATCAACATTTCATTGGATACATTTATTCAGTTTACGCTGCGGCTGACCTTCGGCCTTTGCGCTTTATGGGGGAAAGTGCGGCACCTCCTTTTCTTTGCCTCCGCAGGGAACGGTTTCCGCGGATTCTCCGGATCCTCGCTACCAACTTCGAAGATGGTAGCATCGGAATACTCGCAGCTAGCTTGTTCTTCCTTTAGTTACGCGAAATCTGAGGGTGCTTCACGGACGCATGCCGGACTAAGACTCCTTTGAGACCACTTGCAACCTGGTTCGATGAAGGACATATCCAGGATGTCCAGGAACACGAGTGATCCACGTTTGCTCGTTCGACGGTACAACTTTGACACTTGATCACCGGTGGTGTGGGTACCTATATTTTGAATGATCCACAGTTTCCAGACCTTACTCGACTACGTCTAACCTTAAATTTTTATCCGGGAGATGTTGCTCGTTTTACAACGTAATATACATGTCATTAATCAGAGGCAAACTCCTCTGCCTTTCAAGAACCAACGCCAGATCAGATTCGATAGAGTCTGCCGGTTACCATTACGACGGCTCAGGGCCTTGACCCCGTCGCAATATTTCTTTGAAGAAAGATAGAAGTTGCGAAGGCAACTTCGATTCTGCTTCATTGCCTTCGTGGTTCGAGTGCATGTGGAAACTATCTTTGGCGACCTTCTGTTAAATTATATCTTCAATGCAGTCTAGCAAGCTGCATCCACACCTGCTGAACAACACGTACTATGCGTGAGCAATATTCCGTGGGTGCTGGCGGGGTTTATATGACTTCCAGTGCCTGTATTTAGTCCATGACCATGTGCTGTCCGACAACTATATTTTGCTCTTGGTACATATTATGGCAGTCCCTGCACAGCAAGCCACCGGGTAAGTCCGCCGATATACCTGGGTCAGGTTGAAGTCCTCGGTACGTACCGTTGCTCATCTTACTTTCTAATCCTCTTCTGGATTAGCTACGGTTTCGTCGTGTGCAACGTACCTACCATGAATTCTGTGGGCTGAATTTGCCTTAAATTTCGCTCCTTAATTATATTTATGAATGTCTGAACTTGGAGCTAAGAAAAGCAGCTACGGAAGCTCGGGCTATATCGCAAGGAAGAGAAGCTACCATCAACATCACCACATGATTCAAACTCTAAAGTCTCTATCCTATGACTATCTACAAAAAATAATAATCTAGAGCAAGCTATCTACAGATACTTCATATCTAATATACCATTATCTCAATTTCGTGAGATTGAAAGAGGTTGCTACCATGATTCTGGTGTCTAAATTTTGAGAAGGAGTCTGATCCGGCCTCCAGCCATTGTAGTAAGGTCAAAGCCGATTCATTTGCCATCAACGCTTGAGAAAAAATCGTGCGGAGGGTCGCTACGCTGCCGAGTCAACAACTGAACCCGCCGGGGGTGTTCTCTCTACTGCATTCGTCGGCACAAATCCCTTACAAGTGCCCGCGAACATTGGCGGTCTCCGACAATGCTGCATTTCAGACCTGATAATGAGCGCCGATAGCGGATCATCCGCACCGATGCGTTGGCTAAAAGCTGGCCGTTGGAGCAAGAAACAAAAGATGGACGCTTGGTGCCAAATGTTCGGGATGTTGATTGGTCAGCCGACTCATGGGTGTATACAAACTTTCATAGCATGAACAGTCTAATAGGAAATCATTGCTCTTGTTCGCTGACGGCGACGTTCACTGCGGCCCGGTTGTGTCTTACAGTACTTACGTGTATGCAAGAACCCTTCAGCCTCGGACCACGAGGTCTGAGCCCTGACGGGTACCTTCTTCGTCTGCTCCGTAATCGAGACGACCCTAGATATTTTAGAGTTGTGGACTCAGATTCAGCTTTCTCGGGCACAGTTGATACTGAGCGGGGAACTCCGTGAAGAGTTCACGGTGCGGAGCTGCAATGGACGAAAGAATACAGGAGGGTGTGGATATACATAGACGAGCCCCAACCTTGTTCATTGCATTAGCATTGTGCTTTTGTGGATTCAATAGTTCATGCCAGTGCTGATTTTTCCGCAAACGAGCACTCGCTCCCATTCATCGGGTGATCAGGAGTAGGTAGTAAGCCCAGTCCTCAAGTAGTCGTTATTCAGGCCCTGTCAGCGCACTGTGATAGGTAAAACCCCAAGAAAGGTAGGACGGGTCATCGGAAACATTGATCAACTCGATCGGGTTTGCCTTTTGACACTGCATCTATCCGGCGGACGGTGGAATTAATGTCTCTTCACGACTCGTACTTGCGCCCAACTATTAGTGACCTTCTCCAGCTTCCAAGTTTACCCCTTGTTGCAGGCACCCAGATAAGGTAGCTCGACGGAGGTTAAGAGGACTTCAAGCTTTCAAGTTGGATCTTGGAAATGATCATTGTATTTTTCTCTCGGAAATTGCGAGGCGGTGTTGAGATGTATACCCTCATAGCAAATGTTGAAACGACTCTCGTTATGATAGATGTTCCAAATGGTCCGGTCGCCCTCCAGAAACCTTCTTCGTTAAGACACAAGCGTTTTCCCCAAGTGCTGCCGATAAATGTGTATGGAAAATTCACTTCTCAATTCAGTTTTACCCTTTGACAAAGGTTGACGGCCAATTGATATTGCATACTGCCCTTAGATCAGAGGGCTGAGTGAAGTTAAGGAGTGAAAGCAGCATACTCACGAGATTCGCTTATTATCAGATGATCTTCGCAGCAGGCTTCAGATAATATTGGCAGAGCGGGGCATACAACACAGCACGTTCATTTAAAAGTGAATGTCGAGTGAATGGAGATCCACGTATTTGTATTAGCAATCAGACACTGAAATCACGTTTTCTAGTTCGAAGCCTACACAGGAACTGACACACGGCCAACACGCCTTGGAAACTCGGCCTCATAGCGGCGGATCGTCAATTACCTCTTGATTAACCAGTTGATATCGGCTTACATGCCATCAATGAGTCATTCAGGGTCTCACTTCTTGATTCTCGCCTTGCAATCGGTACTGACCAGGACTGCCCGAACCTGTAAAGCCCCATTTCCAGATAACCCGACCCGTTGGATCCGCAATCATGTACATCACGGTTGCCTTCTTTTAATTTCGAGGATAAGCGATCATGTTTTACAGTGCTATAATGTTCTGTATGCGGTTTTTCTGACGCGTCTCCAGGAAATTTGTTCTTGTAGACGCACCTACCTTGCATTACCAAGAGCTCAAACCAACTTCGAAGCCTCATGTTCCACTCACACGTTTGAACGATTGCTCGTCAAAAAAGGTGGCTGTCAGCTATATTGTCATGGCCCGGAGCTTCATTATCGTCTATCCCAGCGGAAAGGTCCAGGCGCCGAGTTTACGGGAACTTCGCTTATTGTCTTCCGCCCTTGTGTCACGTCATTACGCCTATATTGAGGTGACAGTGCCACTTAAGTTCATCCCGCTTATATGGAAACAAGCACTATGTGCAGTGTAGTGTCAGGTCACTGGAAATGTCGAAACACTGAACCGTTGCGGGGACATCTAGGCGTTGTTGTGTCTCATAATCAACTCAAGAGATGCTTATTGCTGCATTTTTTGAAGTGACATCCCGGCAAACCGTCCCGATCAATGACCTCCACATTTGACAGATGTCTCCTTGGATCTGACAACTGCCAATCTCCCCGCGTTTGAATACGTCGTTTGCGGAAGCAAATACATTGCGGACCGTCTCGAAGGGTTCGACATCGGGCTAAGCGCTGTTCGGCTGTCAAGAATCGGGCAACGAATGCGCCCTCTTACCCAGAATACTATCACCCGCAGCATAGGTATGTCACGTTTACCCGTGCAAATCGGTTCCCTTTTTCTGTGATGCTGATGAAGTGCTACCGCTGCATTCACGAGAAGCCATTCACGTGGGAGTCATCACGCCCAGGCCAACGTGGGTGACGCGTTTTTCTCCAAATAATGGAACACTTCTTTCCTTGACCTTGGATGTCGGCTCAAACTTTCCGCCGCATGCACCCGCTACGTTAATTCAGTTTTTGTCTGGCTTATTTGGTTGAAAAAACGCGGGCATAATTTCAATGTACCCCGCCTTAATCTTTCCTTTGTACCAAGTCCCGTTGCCGCACGACCGTCTCCACAGGACAAAACAGCTTTTCTCGGACTCCGCTCAGCTTCAGCGACGTGAGTCGTATCTAAGCTGTATCAACTATATCCACTAAGTCCGTACAGAATGCTTCCAGCCACAAACGAGCCTCATGGACCAGCTGTTTCAGTTAGCCGACGCGCTTTATCTGGTCTAAAAGCTTTACGTAAGCTTTTATGGGGAAGTCCAAGGTATGTTCATAGCGCCTCTTTGACAGGCTTGTAACCGCAACTTACGGCTCTTAGGGATACTGATGAGGGATACCTCTCCGCTGCCAATCGCCTAGCAGACGTGTCCCAGAGGCACTCAAACTACCAGAACGCCCTAGTCATCCGAGTCGGGACGTCACCAACCCCCATTCGTCACATCGACCGCTTTCTAAGCGATTCAGCAAAGACAAAAATCTCGGTATATGTTGTGGAAGTCGGCTTCGACAGTCCTACAGTTTCTCGACTCGCGTGTGACGCAGTTATGGCTCTCCTTTATCCCCATCTCAGCCCCATGATATCGTTGGAGTATTATGCATATGACGAGTCGGGTCTACCGCAGCTTGGGATTCATCTCATCGGACCTGTCCCATGTCTAGAGAATCTAGTTCTCCACGCAATGTTTGACGGTCTCGAGAACCCAGTCGACGAGAGCACAGTTCTAAACTGTCGAGATAGACTCCTCCATCACCCCGTGAACCTCGCTGTACCACGAAGCTCGAATGGGTTTTCTACTAAGTCTATTAAAGCAGCGACATTAGCCGGATTTGTCTTTGACAAGGTTCGACTTTTCGATGTTAGACTGCTCCTTAATTGTCGATCAATTACCATTGGCGGGTATACATTTGGAAAACCAGGCAGCAGACATCTTCTCGATCTCTCCGGGGTTCTCGAGTTGCGTGTTTGCCCGCATCTGGTCACTTTATGCATCGACACAGTTTTCTGCGTCCTTGACGTCTCCCCCCGCAAAGACGAGGAGTTCAGATTCCCAGCATTACAGCATCTCGATCTGAAATCGCTCAACGCCTTTCACCTTGAATGGTTTCATAGGATCTCAAGTGGCGTCGACCTCGCTGTCACTGTACGCGACTGCGACGTACTTCTAGGCCCACGGTTTGGGTTTCATAACGCTTCGGTCCTTTCCCTGCGAAATATACCAGTCCAGCTGGAAAACCCTCTTCGTCATCTCTTGGAACGCTCGCTAAACGTAACGGACCTCACATTTGAAGCTTGCGACTGCTTTGATGACGACCTACTTCGCTCGCTTTCCTGTACTGGAGAGTCTGGGGATGACACTGTCCGATGTATCCGAGTCTGTCCTCAACTCAAAAAGTTGGCTATACAGGATTGTACGCGGTTCTCATTTGAGACGTTGAAGACAGTCTTCTCAGAACGGCTAGCTAATGGAAAGGGGTTATCCTCTCTCACCTTGGCCGGTTCGGGCCCACGGATAAGTTTTGACGTGCTGGCATCCCTCGAAGGCGTTGACAGGGTGAGTTGGTCACTCGAAAGTATGGAAACTATGACCACGCTGGGTACGCAAGAAAATGAAGCGTGGGGAGGTAATTAACAGCTGGGTGCGACAAAGTTGTCTACAGGTACACGACTACGATAGATTTCGTACGACTGCATCTGTCAGACGACAAAACAACCATACGAGAGCTTTCGGAGTCGTCACAATGGCATATCGATCCTTTTTACCTTATCAATTTACCGTTAGTCTAGAAGAGATATATCCCATCAGGAAATGAAACGACAATCGTCAAAGGACATGCGTGAATTATAAGCATGCTATCGAGCGACTCATACCGGAGAAGGATATGACTTCGATCCAGTTGCCTCTGTAACGAAAGTAATGCAATGACCTGTGTTGGGGAATCAAAGCTGACGAAAAACGCACCGCTGCGTATCTACACCCTACATGTAGCAAGAATGAAGCTCTGTTTATCGTGCTGGATCTCTGCTCGGCCGACACGTTTCGATCGAGATTCTGGCTGGTCCCTGGCCACCAAACGCCAGTGGAAGAGGGAAATACAAGGAGGAAGTTGGCGGAGGATGGAGAAAGGCGCCTGGGTACAACGATCAATGGATGGAATACACACCATTCGAGGATCTCATGGAGTGAGTCGATACTAGGCTGATGACGAGACCTCTGAATCTAGGGCAGGCCATCTGCTTGGTTATCGCGCAATACTGCCATCGGCTATCTCCGTGGGCTACATCATTTATTTCAGCAATCAACGACGTTTGAGCCAGCGAACTGAACTTAAACGTTGTGACATCAACAAGATCGACCTGCTTGCTCTTCAAGGTGTTGAGCCACCGCGAATGCTGTCGTTCTCAAACTTCGGCACAAAGGTACTTATGCAACAGTTCCACATACATATTGAGCTGTTCGAGTATTTCATTCACAACACCAAAACCCCTGCCTAGACCTTGTGTATGTGTATCTGGTCCTGCCGTGAGTCCTTGGAAGGGTCGTTGTTCATATCAGTTTTCAAATGTAGACTAGCATCTGTCATCGACTAACGGGCTTGTCAAATCCAGCCATCCGACTCATTTCTATACGGATCAAAGACAAACCGGGAGTTTGTCTGACGCTGATAATGTTTCATGAACACCATGAAGTCAGTCTTCTTGAACATTGAAGACGTAGAACGCAACGTACTACCAGTTTATGCGCCAGTTTTTATCTTATACAAGCACAAAGAGGACCTTCAAATCCGTGAGATATCGACGACAGAAATATCATTGTCCTCAGTTAGCATTGGTGGTGCGACGGCTGCTTGGTCTCGCTTCTCAAAGCAACCGATACTATACAGGAAATCGCGTGCTTTTAATGTTGCGAGCCAACAAACTAGAAGAGTCGTCCCTGAGCGGGTCGAGCTGATATCTCGAATATTACTTCCATTGTTCCACGCGGAACCATTTTCTTCTATTCGAAGTGTTCAGCGCAGATGAACCGTCACATCGGACCAACAACCAATTCATTCCTTATGCCGTTACGCTGTCAGCGATAACTTCGACCTAGGCTTGGGTACAGAGGTAGCATTTCACCACCGGAGTTTGGTACGCTTTGGCCTGCCTCGTGATGCTGTCAACCGAAGATATAAATCCAGACGTCTTCCGCCGGTGGAATTGGACAAAGCCCTTCAGTCCTTACCTCTCCGACCTCGATTGTCTTCGCCAAAAGCACTCCCTCTCCACAAGCCTCGCACGCAGCATTCTCATTCAAGATAACTCCAGTGAGTCTGGAGGGCTTGAAGAGGGTGACATTAGACGATTCACGCTCGCCCCAAATGTCTGCTTCACAGAAGCTTGTATCATTTCGACGTCAAAGCATGAAGAATTCCCGGCACTGGCAGTTGCAGGAGATGGGGCGCAAAGCTCGCATGTTTTTCTGCAAGGTTTGCGAACATTATATCGATCGACCCAGGTGGTGCTGACAACAGAGTATGTCTAGGCCGCTGTCCTATCCCGCAAGAAGAAGGTTGCATACGTCCACCGTCTACCCGTCGAACTTATACTCCGGATTTTCGGGTACCTCTCTTTCTCGACGGAAATGTGGTTCGACCAACGCGACATGACTCTGGGGGACTTGCTCGTATGGGGCGACAATTACCCGGGTGCTCATCTGGAAACATGTTCTCGGTGGCGCGACATCATCTGGACGAACTCCTATCGCAAGAACCACCTTCTTGTCCGTGTTGGAAGTACGCCCACGTCACTCACCTATGTCCGGTCATTCCTCGATACTTCTGCCGGGAAGCCCATCTCCGTCTATGTCGTGCAAAATGGTTTGGTCAGCTGTGACATCGAGCGTCGTAGAAGCAACATGCTCATGGAGGTGTTGCTACCATCCTTGGATCGCATTGAGGCCCTGGAATTCTTCACCCACGACGTAAACGGACTCCCGCACATTGGGCGTCAGTTCTGTGGTTTCGCTCCCCAGCTCGAGCGTCTGTCGTTCATCTGTCGACGAGATGATTTACAGCGTCATCATGAAGGGTCTCTTGTCGACGACCAGCCTGCATCTATGGTGCCTCTGCTATTTCCATCGCTGAGATATGTTACACTCGCCGGTAGCTCCTTTGAGCAGGCCGTACGACGAGACTCAACCTGTCTATTGGCTTGTAACTCGATCACTATAGGAGGATATCTTTCTTACGGACCGGATAGGCATCTGCTGCGCACGAGTCTCCTTCAAACTCTCAGGATATCCGAGTCTTTGACAACGCTCATCATCGATGCGGTCGATTGTAGCGTCGATGCTTCTGTTCTACAGCCGGCAGATTTTTGCTTTAGGTCTTTACAGGAGCTCGACCTTCGATACCTTGGTGCCGATGCCGTGAAGTGCTTCAGCCGCCTTTCAAGTACGCAGCGGCTTTCGGTGATTTTGCGGAGCTGCAATATTTCTTGGGAGACGAGTTTCCCTGAGGCTTGGTCTGTGACATTCCAGGACGTCGATAAGGGATTCAACGTCTATGATGCAGTGGCGAGTTGTAAAAATGCTAGGGAACTTGCGTTTGACGACTGCGCTATATTCGACAGGAGCCTCCTCTTGGCACTCTCTCTGAACGCGGACGATGCAGTGGGTCATCCTGAGCAGCTTGACTGCCCTCACCTTGAGTCGCTGTCGATCCGGGATTGTCAAGATTATAGCATCGAAAATTTGACGAGAGTTATCTCGAAGCGCATGAACGTAGGTACTAACTTTAAGCTAAAGCGACTCCATGTGGCCGGCTCTGCACCTGCCACTTCGGATTTGAGGGACTTCATAAAACTTTCGCTTTGCGTGTTTGACCTGGTCTGGTCCGGGGCTCGACTCAAGTTTCGAATGAAGGATGGCAAAGTGATAGAACGGGATGGCGCGCTAGGATTTACTGTCCTATGAATAGGTGATTACAACGCGAGATGCTACGAAGAGATTTCGTACGCTTTCGTGAGGTAACACAAACAACATACGAAATCTCACCGAATACAACTCATTAGACTAGTCCGACTTCTTCTTTTTGTCCTCTACAATCTCGACATTATCTATTGGAATACCTTTGAGCACACCCGTCCCCTTCTCGATAAGTTCTTCGATATCGTAAGCAACGTCTCCTTGAACGACAATTTCGTCCTGGCCTTGAGCGTTTTTCGATACTGAGGCACCCGTCGCGAAACGCTGGGCGAAGAACTTGGCTGCTTTCTTCAATTCGATGTCTGACGTGGTCCAGTATGTGTCAGAGTATACTTGGACTGAAAGGGGGAGACGGCGCACCGAAGGCCTCAAGACCATGGACAGCGGTAACATGCTTTCGTTTATTCCGCTCTATCCGCTTGATCGTCACTGGTGATGACTATGCACAATGATGTCGATGTTGATCAGCGCTCAAAGAGTGACAAGGGCAGAACGCACCATCTTCTTCTTGAGAGCCGCATCTGCCTTTGCCTCAGCCTTTGCCTCCTTCTTGGCTACGTCCTTCTCGAGCTTCTTCTGTGCCTCCAAGCTGAGCGTACCAAGCTTTGACTGCAGAGCCTCTAAAAGGAGATGTCGTCATGCCACTTTGATCATTAACAAGGGCTCAGACCATCGAACGGAGACAAGAGCAGTGAAACATCGGAGGCGAAGAGCGTTGACGTACCTTCTGAGTAATGCTTGTCGTACTGCGCAGAATCCGCCTCCTTTAACCACTCTTTGCATTTCGTGAAACTTGATCCGAATTCGCAGTATTCAAGAGGGAACGTGCATACTGCAGCGAGCCCGAGCGGTGGACAGGATCAGATCAGGATATCTACAGGGTGAGCTAAGCAGACCTTCGCAGTAAAAGATCTCCTTGGGCGGAATATCTTGCGATGGGGCTTGATCTTCGGTCGACATGGTGGATGGGGAGGACGTCGTGGTACGTGGTGGAGTAACGGGCGGGCAACTGTTGGCTGCGTAGGGTTAGGGGCTTGTAAATCTAATCGCGCTGCTGCAGTCGTCCCACGCCTCCAGCGACTACTTAACGAGTCAGACCGCAGTGCAGCGCTATGAAAACAAATTATGACAATGTTACATTAGTCGTTCAGATACAAAGCATATTGAGTTAGTTACATGTGTAAACAGATCTGCTCAGTGCCATCAACCCCGAACCAAAACAAATACCGATGATAACGTCCATATCTATATGCTACAGCTTACGCCGACCGTCGCGACTGAAACGACGACGGGGCATCTGCATCAGGGTCCAAACCCACGACCTTGACCGCCGCCATTCTTGCCGTTACTTCGAAGAGCGCGGTTGACCTCGTCATTCAGTGTGTTATCGAGCCCCTGGAGAAGTTGCTGGAAACCATGCCCAGCCGCGATCGCTGGGTAGAGGTCGGACCCGAACAACTGCTGGAATTGATTCTCGAAGTCCACGTTGTTCATCTGCGGTTCACCGAGAGCTTGGAAGTGCCCGTTCATGTCGTGATCGGGCATAGAGGTCGAAATCTCGGTGATGCCCCCTGCACCGTCGTCTGGGACGGGACCAGACCCATCCCCGGACCCAGGCTTGCAGAACATCGATGGTGCGTAGTCCATCGGGTCCATGAACATCGCCGACGACGATCCACCCATATTCTGATCCTGCTGCATAGACATAAGTCCGTCATTCTGCGTGCCAAACATGCCAGCCTCCTCTTGCGCCTGATTCGCCATGTAGTCCCAGGCGCTCCGAAAGCTGTTGAAGTCATTCGTGTGAATGAGGCCTGGTCCCTCAAACGACGATGTCGCGGCTTCCCATGCGTCTTCGCCATACACGTCGGGTATATGTCCCGTCTTCGCGAATGCGTCGGCACACTCGAGTCCAGCAGTCGTGCCCAGTGCCGCACCAACGAACGAGGATAGCTCGATTCCTGTCATAGTCGGGTTATGGTGCTGCAGCAACGGGTCTTGCGATTGCAAGTTCGCGAAGGCCTCTGCCGCTCTAGTGAACGATGAGGGCATCGTAGAAGGGATTTCCGGGGTATGTGGACCACCGGTATCGGAGGAGCTGGCACTGACGTTGCTACCCCCGTTGACGCCAACGCGGGTGGTGTTCGGGGAGTTGGAGTTGATGGAGCCACTAGGTAATTTGGCCGCATCAATGAACACCTTGTTCAATTCGCCAGCGAGGCCCTTGATGACGTCGTTGACTTCATCAATACCCTCGAGTCCCAGTCCGCCTGCCACCGCGCCGCCAAAGAAGACCTCCGAGACACGTTCGTTTGGCACGCCTTCCAGAGCCTCCTTAAGCGTGGGCAATGGCGTATGCGGGGTAACCCCACGGAAGAGAGCGTTGTTCTGAGGAGGCGGTGCAAGAGGGTTGGAGCCAAAGGAACTCGACGAAGTTGACGATGTGCTGTTAGCGTTCGAAGAACCAGAGTTTTGCTGCCCCTTCATCGACTCAACGATGCTCTTGATCTTGTGCACGAGAGGCAGTTCAGACAGATGGGGATACGACCAAGAGAGAACCCGAAAAACATCAAGTGAACTGAATGAGAGGTGTCAGAAACAGTAATTTGAAGGACGATGATCGACTCTACGCACCACTCCAACTCGGCGATCTTCTCCGCCTTTGTCATAAACGTCCCACCCTCCTCCGTTGTCGGCGAATCGAGGATAACTTGCGCCCAAAACGAGAATGGCTCGTTCCCACCCGAGCGAGAAAATACCCTTGGGGCGATACACATACGGATTAGCGTAAGGACCTTGGCCTCCCACGCAAAAGACGACGGGTACGAAGGCGCGCACTGTGGTGACACGCTCGGAATTTCGTCACGTTTCTCGTCTGGTGTCTGCTGGAAGGGGAAGACGGCGTATGACAGGGGGCTGGGATCAACAGCAGGTGCTGCCGCAGGTGAGGGGTTTGACTCGGCAGAGGATGCAGGCGATGACTCGGAAGGGGAGGATGTTGTTGGGGCGACGGGTGGAGGGGGGTTAGACCTGGTCGACATTGTGCGTCTTGACAGTTCCGCCACGTTCCACACAGAGTTTTTGTCACGGTCCTTTGACGGAGCGTTAGGATCGGTGGCTCCAGAGGATGATACCCGTATGGACCGCCCGATGTGCGTAATCCACGCGAGATGAACCATGGACCGCACACCCTTGAGCAGCGTCAGGGCGTGCGGTAGCAATGCCTTCCGTACCCCTCTAAGGACGATCTCGAGGCGCTCCTTGTCGTCCCCCGGGCAGCCATGACCTTGTTCAATCGCGAGCAGCCGCTCCTGCAAGTCGATATAAACGGGCACATTAACAGCCCCCATACATCCGCGTATGAGCATATGAAAAGTGCGTGCCGTCAGCTGCGCTCGGAGCTCGTCCTTAGGTGAATGAGCGTCCTCGAGCCCAGCTGGGCCTTGAGTCATCGACTCGGTGTATAGTGTGTCGGTCCCACCCATTTGCCGCTGGTAGTCCCCAGGTTGTTCGCCAACCGCCTGATCCATGGCGGCACCGCGACCAGCTCTTCGGCGAATTTCGACGCCAGCAGGAGAGAGTAGCATCTTGAGGCGCTTATTAGCGAGCTGGAGGAGGTTCTGGAGAGGAATTAGGGATTCAATATGCTTTTCGAGTTTGGGCACGTCGAATGGCGCGCGATGCGCTCGACCTTGCCAGACTAGTCAGCACCCTGTACAGAGTTCGAGGATCTGCAATGATACTCACGAGATGTCCAACCAAAGCTATCCAGAGCTACTTCCGTCATGCGATACGAGACTAAACGCGCCGAAATTGTAAGCCTTAAAGTGGCGAAGAGGGTAAGGCGGCGTACAGGGTCTAACAAGGCAATAGAAAGAGCCGAAATCCCACCAATCGACTCGGACACCCTCACCCTCGTAGCTCTCTCGATGCGAATCAGATTCTGCAATCCCGAACGTATCCGCGTGCGCCAAAGCCAGTTCCGGTGTTGCAGGCTTGACGCCGACGAGAAGCTCCTCGTCATGTAGAGTGCTAACAAGCGTGGTTAAGTGGATCTGAGCATACAGTAGGCCAAAGACAAGAACATACTAGCTGCAGATCTGTCCCTGGGCAGCAGCGGAGAGTGATTCGCGCATCTGGAACGTGAATCAGTTGGGTGTGCGTATGATGACCGCATGACAGCAAAACTCACGATTTGAACAGACCATCCTATACCTTGGATACGGGGCGCGTTCGTTGCTCCGTCAGGGGGCGGGAACGGAAACGGCGTGGGCGCTGGGAGACTGGGAGCGGTGGGTACCATGACGCGGTATCCATTGATATCATTGTGGTCTTGAACATCGCCGTTGGCTTCTTCAGACCAGTTGGCCAGGCGCTTTGCCTCGAGTTTCCTCCTAAGCAGCGATATAAAGGCAGCGCTCCATGGTCGTCCCGCTCCAGGCGTGTGTCCTTCAGCGGTACAGACATCTGAGTCGGACAATGAAGTGGCAAGGCATGTAAATGCACGTACGATCTTCAATCATTTCCAATAGCAAGCACGCAGCCATTCCTTCGTCACTCACTCCGCCAAAACCAGATCCATCTCCCCCGTCGCCTGCGAGAAGTCGTGCATGCCATGCGCTCTCAACTGCCATTTCGCGAAGGCGCTCGCAAGCGTTCTCGCGTCGACGGCCCCATTCCGCGACGGTGTCCATAGCGATCGAGCCAGGATCAAAGAGGAACGCGGCGAGGCGAGGTGGTGCGGCTCCCGGGCCGAAGAGCAGGGGATGAGAGGAAAGGCGGGATGTGAGGGTTAGGATACAGAGTGCGAGGACCTGTGATGTCCGGGGAAGGAGGGAAAGTCGTCGACCATTTGCCTCAAATCTTTCGCTTAATGCTGCACCGGGGACTAGAGAGGCTCTGGGAAGTTTGGAGTATACTGTATGCGGATGCGCATGATCAGTGGGTGCCCCACGAGAGGGTAGGTAGCGCATACATTCAAGTAAATGAGCGGCAAGCTCTCCAGAAAGCTCAAACTGAACCAGAAAATTCTCTGCTTGGATGAGTGGGGCGGGATTAGCCTCGTGCAGAGGTCGAATTGCGCCATATGTAGCTCTTGAGAAGTTGGATGTCAGGAGAGCGACGAAGGGAACGACATGTGAGGCGCTTACTTTGCTGCCTCTATACGTTTCCCGGACCTTTCCTTGGCCCTTTTACGGATAACTGGTGTGGTGGTACATCTAAATTACACGAATTTCTTGAGATACGGTAAGGCTTATTGGGGGACGATGAAGAGCTCACGCGATGCCTTTGGAGATACAACGAGAGCAGGCTTCTGGGGTAGGTACTGGATCGCACTTGACTCTCCGAAGTTTGCATGCATCACAGGCAGGCAAACGCTTTGAATTGTAGTGATGTATGTCGGGAGGCATTTTGGGCAGTGGATGTGAGGGCAATGACGAGAGAGGGGACGAGGTGGGTGAGGTGGACGGTCGGCATCCCCGGCGGCACGGCTTACTAAGGAAATCTATATAGACCCCGAAGTCAAGGTTGCTGTGCGCGGCGTAGGTCTTTGCGGGCCGCGTTGACATGATTTAATTTACACATATCCCTCAGCTTACAGCAAGACTTCCTACGAAACATCCGGGCAGACTACATTGAAAATTCAGCCAGTGTACTTTGTAGCGTGTTGGCCTTCAACGACCCGAAGTATTCATCAAGCGTTCCCCGGCTGATAGGCATGAATGCATGACCCGGTGCTGTCGGAGCATTCTAAGCCCCGCCGGCACCGAGCTAATCCTCCGAGAGTCATAGACGCGCCAGTCTATCAATAACATAGCCAGCTCCAAGCATCATGTAGTCTCTACCATGAAGAAACCACTGACAGTGAGGCTATCTGACAGTGCCAGATTCTAGGTTAAATTATCAATGACATTGACTTAGACATCGACGCCTAGACAGGGGCTTCAGATAAATACTCAGCCGCCCTTAGAGTGCAGCTGAGCGGTTGCTTTGCTGTCTTTAGCCCAGAAAACTGCGCAGACACTCAGACGGTACATGAGAGTCGTCAGATCATCATCTCTGCATACACAGCTCAATATGAAGGCGCCCTGAACAATTGAGCCATGTCAAGAGGCCAGTCAAGAGGGGACGTGCGCTTCCGAACTCCGCATTTGTGGAGAAGGCTGTTAGCTGTCAATTGAAGCGCCCTTGGACTTGGTAATCTAATTCTGCCTCCTCATGGCCTTCACTAGTTTCGAGCGCTTTTCAACGTTCTCATAGCCCCGCCTGCTTCATACAACGAACCCCGCACAGCGACTTGTTCCTATCCTGGATCCGGAGTTCACTGCCTGGTCTAAAACCATCGTCCATGCAAACCACGTTTATCAACACTTGACGCTTGAGGCTCAAAAGACGAGCTACAGCAAGCACTGGAGCTCAAACCATTCTTTTACCTCCCACCATCGTCACTGGCGCAGAAAGAAAGCCATTCGGGATCATGGACCCGACTTATCCTATCGAAGACTCAATTCCACGCCCCACGACACCCCACATCTTCAAGCGCGCGACAAACTTTATCACCCACACCGCGCGTGACCGCCGCGGTGCCCCCGCCGGAAGGCAATTGCGCGTCAAGCCCTGGAGCGACACACCCAGCACACTCAGCGAGTCGATCAAACGGTTTACGAGGTTCACCAAGGACGACGCGTCGCGAGTCGGTCGCGGTCCCCAACGACACCACCACGTCCAGGGACACGGCGGCCACGGAGCAACCACGGGCATCTCGGGCCGAATATGGAAGGATACTTCAGCTTCAGGATTTCCAGTGCCCAGCAACGTGTCGAGCAATCACCACGCTGCTGGTGACGCACCCGCCTCCCCCTCTCATTGCATCCCCATGGCCCAGATACGACAGGACGAGCAACAACTCACGGTCATGCAGAAGGCGTCCATGGCCGATGTCGCCGTACCACCACTGCTGCAGCAGGGTGTGCCGATGACAAAGGTTTCTGCCACGAAACAGAAGACGTACCTCTTCAAGTTGGACCCTGATATCGGTCAGATCGTGTGGGAGTCGAAGAAGCATAGAATCAGTACGTCTCATCCTGTGTTATTGCGTTCGTCATACTGATCCCTGAATGTTCCTGGGCTGGCTTCGGAAAAATAGTTCCAATCGAGAACATCAAAGAGCTCCGGTTCGGTGCCGAGGCGCGGTACTACAGGCAGCAGTTCCAGCTTGCCGAGCAGTACGAAGATCGGTGGATTACCATTGTGTACACCCTCGACGCGGAGTACAAGACCCTCCACCTGATCGCGTCAACATTCGATGTTTTCCAAATGTGGCATCTCACCCTTCGCAAACTCTATGCGATACGTCAAGAGCTTATGAGCGGCCCGGGGAACGTCGAGATGCGCGAGGCTTTGTGGGAGAAGCAGTGTTGGAAGGGCGGGGAGAGCCAGGAGCAGCTTAGCTTCGACGAGGTCGAGAAGCTCTGCCGAAGGTTGAACATCAACTCGTCTGCGGACGACCTTTTGACGTTCTTTGTGGTGAGTTCGCCTACGTGTCACGCATATTCAACCTTGACGACATAATTTGCAGAAAGCAGACTCTCGCAAGCGCGGTTATCTCGACTTTAGCGATTTCCAGCATTTCGTCCAGCTCTTGAAGGCCCGACCCGAGGTCGAAGCTCTCTACAAACGGCTTGCCTCTGCCATGAATGGACTCTTTACCTTTGATATCTTCCAGTCGTTCATGCGAAACAGCCAAAAGGTCCGTAGCCATTTATGCATATGTTGACGAGGTGAACACGCTAACATGAGAACCTAGAGTAAGCTCTCCGACAACGAGCTACGTCAGATCTTCATCAAGTACGCCTCGAGGGCAGACAGCCAGACGCCTGCTCAAGCACACGCGGCAGCTAGCTCCACATCAACGCTACCGATCCCTGCCCAGACGACACCCGCTCCGGAGCGCTCATCTACGGAACCATCCTTGCAAGCTGTATCCGGATCAACGTCGTCCACTCAGGCTGCCCCTGCCTCATCCTCTGCACCGGGTCTATCGTCATCTAAGCCCTCTGCATCAGCTCCAACGGCTCCAGCTCCGCCTTCCCCAGCGCCTCAACATAAGGCTTCCACCATCCCGGCGCCGTCTACAGTCCCTTCATCCTCCTCAACATCTGGCCCTAATTCAGCTTCGGTACCGTCTGGCGCCTCTTCTTCGGACGCACCAGCTACATTACCACCTGCCTCTTCCGTACCTGAAGTCGACGGCTCTGATGTGCTCACGCTAAAGGGATTCACCTCCTTCCTCATGTCTGTCGACAACGCCGCTTTCTCAGACCAGCTGTCGAAGGTCTACCAGGACATGACACGGCCGTTCTCGGAGTACCTAGTCTCCTCGTCACACAACACCTATCTTGTCGGGAACCAACTCGTCGGCGTAAGTACCATCGAGGGGTATATCCGCGCCTTGCTGCATAGCTGCCGGAGCGTCGAAAGTACGTGACTTTGCACACAACTCTGTTGGACGATGGAGACTAACTAAATGAAACTCACAGTCGACGTCTACGATGGCGACAACGAGCCGCAGATCTTCCACGGCAAGACGCTCACGTCCAAGGTCGGGCTCCGCGAGGTGTGCGAGGCGATCAAAAAGTACGCGTTCGTTACTTCGCCGTACCCGATCATCATCTCCGCCGAGGTGCACTGCTCGCTGCCCCAGCAGGACAAGATGGCGGCGATCATGCGGGATGTGTTTGGCGATACGCTCGTGACAGCTCCCGTGGAGGGGAGGCCGAAGATCGAGCAGCTGCCGAGTCCGGAGGATCTGAAAGGGAGGATATTGTTGAAGGTGATATCTTTGCTCATATGGACTGTGACTGAGAGCTGAACATACGGATCTACAGACAAAGGGCGCGTTTCCGTCCGAGAATGAGGCCGCTATCCAAGTCCAAGCGGTCGAAGTGGACTCCTCTTCCACGGAGACATCGGCGTCAGATTCGGATATGATCCACGAGCTCCGGGACGAACTCAAGACCGAGTGGAAGAAAGCTCGTGACAAGGACCACGAGGCAATGAAAGGTACGTTACTTTCGGCTGCCTTGATTTACAAAGGCTGACAAACCATCTATGCAGAGCTCAAGGACGAGCTCCGAAAAGCACGCGGCATGTTCAACCGCGTACGCGGGAAGAACAACAACTCTATCTCGGCGCTCGTTGGGACAGGCGTAGCAGCCGCAGCGCCAGGTTCTCAAAGAGCCGGGCAAATCCACCGTCGGCTCTCGTCGAGCTCTTCGTCGTCCTCGGCGGCATCTGAAAAGCCACCCAAGCCGAAGATCTCACTCGAGATTACGGCCCTGTTGGTGTATACCGTCGGTGTGAAGTGCCGGGGGTTGAACAAGAAGGAGCACTACGAGCCGGCGCACATGTTCTCGCTTTCTGAAAGCACGGCGAACAAGATGGTGAAGAGCGGCTCGGGGCACGATCTTGTGAAGCACTGCAAGGGGCACGCCGTGAGGGTGTATCCGAAGGGCACGCGGCTGAAGTCGACCAACTACGAGCCCCACCGGTTCTGGGCTACTGGGTGCCAGCTCGTTGCCATCAACTGGCAAACATTTGGTGAGGTAGCCTTGAGATCTTCTCTCTTGCGTCGCTAATTACGTACTACTTTATAGACATGGGCTACATGATCAACCACGCCATGTTCCAGCGCAACGGACGAGCGGGCTACGTGCTCAAGCCTCCAGCTTTGAGGTCGGCCGACAAGGAGCAACTGGCCCAGCGCACTAAACGCGTCCTAGAAGTCACTGTACGTGTTTATGTCAGTACATGCACAACCAGGACACTGACCCTTGACTGTCACTAGATTATCTCAGCCCAACAGCTTCCTCGCCGACGCGACTCCTCCGGACGCGAGGTGACAGACAAGGACAAAGGCCGCATCGACCCCTACGTTGAAGTATCCGTGCACGTCCCCGAGTGGGCGCACACCTCCGTCAAATCATCCTCGTCGTCATCCTCGTCCGTGAAAACGCCATCGAAGCTGGCGGCGGCGTCGGATTCGTCGCTAGGTCTCGACAAGCTTGACAAGGTCGCGAGCGTGGGGCAGCAGCTGAATACGGTGCGCACGAGCGTCGTCAAGAACAACGGGTTTAACCCGCTCTGGAACGAGGTGCTGCGTGTGCCGTTCGAGGTTGTCGGCGGGATGGAGGACCTCGTCTTTGTCAAGTTTGCGGTCAAGTCGGAGAGGGGGGAGGATAACGACGACCATGTCGCTCTGTATTGCGTCAGTCTTGGGAGCCTCGAGCAGGGTACGTGGCGTTTTGCCTTAATTGTTCGAGACGAGCGGCGATACTAACTTTACTTTGTTTGCAGGGTACCGTCATCTCCCGCTGCACGATGCTCAGCTCTCACAGTTCTTGTTCTCAACACTGTTCGTTCATATCAATGTGCGCGACGCCTAGAAGCAACGCGCGGAGATATCCATACCCACTCCATTTGGTCGGAAATGCATTACTTTGTAGGATTTCGCATTCGCATTCATCGCATGCACGGAACGGAAAGCAACTTGTACATTTGGTGTTTCATTAGTATCTATTACATGAGAACAAAGGGGAAGCTTGGTTTGCATATACAATGTTTTACTAGGAGATCAATACATGGGAAATAGACGGGATGCGATATAGCGACAGCAGACACGAAAGCAATAACGATAGCAAGAACAGAGAGGTGATGTGATGACTAGACTTCAGAGCGTGCAGCAATTACTGTGGAGGCGGAGTGGGAGGGCCTGCGAATCAAAGTCAGAAGACAATAAAGATACGTGAGTACTGCCCTAGATGCACGCACCAAAGAGACCCGCTCGAGGCGCAGGAGACCCGGCCTCCGGAGGCGGAATACCGGGCAAGGGACCCAGCATCGGATCCGGTCGCCACTGCATCCACGCGGGCGTCTGCGGTGCAGGCGCGTGCATGTGCGGCGGCATCGGCGCGGGTGGATGCGCCGGCGAGGGCCTGTGTGAGGGGGCGGGAGACTGCGGTCGTGGGGCTGGGAGGGCTCGTTGTCTGCGTCCGCCTGCTTTGTGCACGGTGCGCCAGGCGGGGCGAGCGACGACGGGGGGTTCGTCGTCGGATTGGGTGCCGGCGTGGGAGGAGGGGGGCGGTGGGGCTTCGATGGATGGTGGGGATGGGGTGCTGGTGTACTAGCGGAGTATGTAATATTAGGAGTAGAGTTGGGATAAGGGCGAGGATGGGGGCCATACAGATGATCGCCAGTCGCCGTGGCCGTAGTCGCCGCTCGACCCGTGTCTCGATTTCATGGCCATGAGTTCTGCGATCTCGCTGTACATGTATGCGCACGGACGGTGAAAGGGGCGGTTCTGGTCAGCGGAAAGACAGTTTCCATAGAGACTAGATGTGCTCACTACTGCAGCTGCCTGCGTTCATCTCGTAGTTGTCCGACCTCCGCAAGCAGGACGCGCATCTCACCCGCAAGTGCTTTGCTAAAGTCGTTGATATACCTACCCGAGCCGAGAGAAACCGTCACATTAGCCACTGCTGTGCTCCGAGGGTAGACACACCGCTGTGCCTTACTTGGGTGCCGCCCCGTTATACGGGCCTGTCCTTTGATTCTGGTTCGACATACTTGCGAATAAGGGCCTTTGTGGGTATCAGGAGAGGGTATCGTCAACAGCTTGTGAGCTGCGCAGTTCAAGTTGACTTTAGACCCGGGCCCTAGATGGCAGTGGGTGTGAAGATAATGAACAAAACGTGCTCCGTGGCGGTGGGCGGAGGGAAACCAGACACGAGGTGCGGCGAATCAGCAGATAGCAGAGTCAAGTGACGATAGCCAACTTCTGTGCGAATTAACACCTCTAAGAAAGTAGCGGGAGGAACCTTGAGCAGGTTGGTCAGGGAAGCGAGCAAGGGTAGTGTGAGTTTGGTCACATGATGGGTAACATAACCCTAACTTTCTCAAAATTTCTCATGTCTAAATCTACACAACGTGTCACGTTTGGTACATATGACGTTCAGTCACCACATGACACGACCGCGCTTGAACGTTTACCTTGTCGGCTTCGGTGCCTCGATGCTATGTTAAGCGGACACGATAAAGTGATATTGCGGGGAGATAGCATATAGACGAAGACGACCTATTATACAAAAAGAAAGAACGGAAAGCAAATCCAGCCTGATTAGATCACCGTACAAAGAGCGACGACGGGAGAGATATCATAGTAAGGAGAGGAAATCAAGAAAGCAGATCAGTAAAGGGCGTATGAAAACAGCATATGTCGTGCTCTGAGGGTCTAAAACCCCCTGAGCGCATCACCCAGCGCACCCATGTCCATTGGCGACGGCTGGACGAACGCGCACTCGGTGCTGAGGCGCTTTCTGCCGCGGGAAGGAGAGCCGGAGTGGACGTGCGGTTTGAGCGGGATCTTGCCCTCCGCGATCCAGGCCTGGACGGGCGCATGCTTCGTCGTCGGGTGGTACCCGCAGGCAGCGAAGAGGTCGAGGTGCCGGAAGAAGTTGGGACTCGGGTCGAAGAGGCACATGTCTGGGGAGGGGGTTATATTGAATGAGCCGTCGGGGGCGGAGGAATCGCAAGGCTCACTTTTCTGCAGGATGGAAAGTGCTTCCCGGACTGAGATCTTGCGTGTCGACATCACTGAAGTAGCGTGGAATATGAGTTTGCGATATTTAGATTCAAAAAAGGGAGACATACGGTATGCGCACACAATGATGCATGCCCTCAGCTCGACACGACACTGTACGAGCACCTGCCCTCCATTTGCAAGCGCGTCTCCGATAAACTTGCACGCGGTCGGCAGCTCAAGCAAAAGGGCCTCCCTCGCATTGTTCGGCACGTCAATGAAACAGTGCGTGAACATGCTCGGCAGCTGCGGTACCGGCTGCTGCGCCGACGAGATGCTAAGCACATGCGTCGTGCCCGTGTCGAGCAGATACGACTCAACGGCGTCGGCGTCCTTTGGAAAGTCACTGACGCAGGACCTATTGGGTGAGGAATTAGGCATTAGAGAGGGACAGCGGGGAGAGGCACCTTGTGAGGTAGAGCTGGTCCAGGACGACAGGTACGGTGTCGGAGATGGTGTTGAGGTACTTGGTGACGTCGCGTTTCTGGCGGCGCATCCAGGCAATGTAGTCCGGATGGCTGTCGGAGGGCTTAAACCGGCACTCGGCGAACGTATGGAGCTGCTTCCTGAAGCCGTAGTTGGGATGGACCATGGACCGGCCTGTAAGCGCATTAGCGAGCGAGAAGGAATGTGTGTGTGGGTGGGCTTACGTTTTCGAAGAACCTGCAAGGCAGCGCGGGCGTCTATACGTTGCGATTGCATCACTAGAGTGGGATTAGCGTATGCACGGGTAGTAGGATACGGGGACGTACAATAAGCGCAGATAACTGTAGCACTCCGAGAGACGCCCATCAAGCAGTGAACGAGGACTACACCATGGTTGTCGAGGGCGGATTGGATGAACTGGCAGGTACGAGGGAGGTGTATAAGGAGGTCGTCAAACTCGGTGTCCTGAATGGGTATGCACAGATGGGTTACGGCGTCTGCATCTGAGGAGGGGTTCTCTGGACAGACGGAGAGGACGTGGGTGATATTGAGCTGGGCATGGAGGTCTTTGCTGAAGCCTGCTGCAAGACTGACGGAACGAGGATTCGGCGCTAGTGAGTTAGTACTAGTGCCTGACGTTGCCAAAGATAGACAAGGATTGACTGACTTTCCGATGTAGAGTTTTCCGTCGAGGACCGAGTCTACTGAAATGAGGGGAACATCTGCGCCGTCCATACGCACTGTTTTGTGAGAGAATGCAATGAGCGAGGAGGGAGAGAAGGGGAAGGAAAGAGAGGGTGGAGTTGTGGATCAGTTTATAGAGGTTGTCCCCCAGAATCGAATCGGTAACAAAGTGCTCTTATTGGCGGCTTCTCGGCGGTACCTTTTCGGCCACCTCCCCCTTCCGCGATTTTGGTCCACATCGTCGTCGCTCATCTCGCTCTGGCCACACTCCTTCTCTCGATGACCTGCTCTTTCAAGTCGTTTTCGTAGTCATTCTGTCACGGGGTAAACAGGTGCGATAAGCAAGAGATGGGGTGGCACGATACGTGAGAGAGCTTGCACCACCAATTTTTCCGACACTACTGGCTCTGTTGTTTCACAGTGCCTCAGCACGTTCTCGTCAGTTTCATCACCTACACATGACTGATTTCAATCTGGCGCTATTTTGAAGTGCTCGACGTTCACAAACACAGCAACTTTTGACACGACTCAATAAGGGAGGTGTAGCTGGCCGATCATCTGACGATTGCTGTGTTGACGTCAGGTGTCTATGACGATTGGCTCGCCCACCATCCATTCTCACTCACTCTCCTCCTTGAGCTTGAAGCCGTGCAGACGACTCAGCAGACGTTCCTCATCTCCTTCCACCGGCCTTCCGTCTATCCATCAGTCCCCTCGACGTCTCGTCTTAGACATGTCTGACCGCCAAGATCCATTCACCCAAGGTCCGTCCACGACAGCGCAAGACATGGAGGATCCCCCTTCATATGCGGACACATCCAAACACGAGCTCGTGCGGACAGAACCCCCGCCCTGGAAGCCCAATTTCACAGAGCTGCCCTCCACACTCGCCAACGACCCTATCCCGCGCAGACCCCTCGATCCTCCCCCAGACTGCTTCTCCGTCCCTTCCCCACTGCGCGTCAAGTCCCATGATTTCCCCCCGTTTGCCATTCCGAGCATCACGTCTACGCTCGCGGACGGATTCAAGCTACTTTACCCGTCTGATCCAGACCTGCTCACGCGGCACGGGATAACGAAAGAGGATTGGCTCCGGTTCTTAGAGGACGTGGTCATCGCTGCTAGGCTTGCTGGCTTGGGGCTCAGCGCGGTAGGTTCGAGGGTACCGGTCGTTCCGTTGCCTGCCAGAGGGCTGTTCGGTGGGAGCAGGGGCACGGCGGGGACAGCATACGATGCGAGCTTCGTACGGAGTCCGAGGGATGAGGTGCAGGCTCTCATGCAGGTCTGGAACGAGGCGGCGTTGGAAAGGAGAAAGCTGAGAGTGACTCTCGTTACGATCGCGGACGGGGCTATGAGAAGCGGGTATGAGATTCTCGTCGAGTCGCTATGATAGAGGTACGTTGCTCTCGAGTTGCTGTCCTGTGCGAGACTCATGCCCAAGTTGCCCCCCTTAGACTGTTCCTTCCCCTTGTCAGCTATAAACTTGATCACGACACCTTGGATCCCTTGTAAACTGTACAACCATCATGTAATCTAGACCGTGTACGAACACATGACTGTCTGGTGATAATGTCCTGTCCAAGTCCTCCGCGGTCTCCGGATACGTTTAAGAAATAGCCCCTGTCGAGGTTGTAAGCGTGTAAGCGCGCCGCTGCACAGGGTCGCTGAAGTTTTACGAGTCTACTACCACCCATGTTGTCCCGGTCCCTCCCTTCGAATCTTCTTCACCGTGCCTCGCAGACTGCAGCATGCACGACCAATGCTGTAGCGTCGTCAAGGGTGAAACCGGGCCGTGCGTTCAGCAAAGTGGCTCGGTGTGGGGGTGTGACCCATTTTGGAGAAGGTCAGGTCACGCTGCCCAGGCCCAGTTCACGAAACCTGAGCTCAGTCGCGCGAGATCAGATCGATTCAACTGATAGTCCAGCGTCTACCCCATCCTCGCACTCCCTCAGACTTGCTTCACGACTGCCACGACACCTCAAGCTCAAACTTCCGTTCACCCCAAGACGCACCCTCGTCACCTTTCAATTCAAAGCCACCGACGACGACATGGCTAATCTAGTTGCACCACAGGCCCCGCCCCGATGGAACCATTCGCCCGAGGAGGTGCTTGCGCTGACGAAGGAGGCAATTCAGAAGAACAAGGAGGTCAGCGACAAGGTCGGCGCGTTCAAGGAGAGCGAGTGCACGTTTGAGTCGGTGCGTCGTATCACTGTCCGTCTATGTCCCCAGGGCTTACCGTTCCCCTTTCGCATGTCTCCCATCCTACCGATGACGCGTACAGGTGTTTGTGCGTATTCATTCATTCCGTCCGTCGTTGTATAATGCTAACCTCCGACGCTTAGCTCACCCTTGCGAACGCCGAGTCCGAATTCGAGGCGATCTCCGAGCCCCTAGCGTTCTACCAGAACGTTTCCACCTCCAAGGAGCTCCGCGACGCTTCCAACCAGGCCGAGATCCTCTGCCGCGACTACGGTGTCGAGGAGTCCATGCGTCTCGACGTCTTCCACGCCAAGACAAACGCGGAGAAGAACATCAGGGACTCGGGGCGCTGGGAGAAGCTCAATGAGGAGGAGCAGCGCCTCGTCGAGAAGATGGTGCTCGACGGCAAGCGCGCGGGTCTTGCGCTGCCCGAAAAGGAGCGCGAGAAGCTGACGACGCTCAAGAAGGAGCTGTCCTCGGTGTGCGTCGAGTTCCAGGTCAGTTCCATTGTTCATCGCTCACGTGCATTGTACTTACTGTCTCGACTACTTTCGCAGAAAAACTTCAACGAGGAGAGCGTGAGTGACAGTCTCTTTTTCGTCATAGGCCCGGACTGACGTGATCACAGGGACATATCTCATTGACACTCGAGGAGCTCGACGGCGTCCCGCAAGACGTCATCTCCGGGTATGACAAACGCGAGGAGAACGAAAAGACGCTTTACGACGTCAAGTTCAAGACACCTGACATCTTCCCTGTCGTGCGTACTTCTCTCTGGCTGTCAGTCATCCTCAAGCGTCATTACTAACGGCACTCCAGTTCAAATTCGCGCACAACCCCGAGGTCCGCAAGCGCGCGATTGAGGCCCACGAGGACCGACTCTCCATGAACGTCCCCCTTCTCGACCGCGCTCTCGAGCTCCGTAGGGAGATCGCAGGCTTGCTCGGATACAAGACCTGGGCCGACTACGTTACCGAGCCGAAGATGGTCAAGAGCGGCAAGAACGCTGAAGACGTGAGTTTCTTGCATGCTTTCGCTTTCGTGTCGCTAACTGATTTCTATAGTTCTTGGACGACCTCGAGACGAGGCTGCGCCCAGTTGGCGAGAAAGAACGCGAGACGCTGATTCAACTTAAGAAGGAGGTTCACGAGAAGCGTGGGCTGCCGTTCGACGGCGAATTCAACTTCTGGGACTATCGGTGCGTTGATACGCCCTCCTCTATCGTGATTCCTCTGAACTTCGTCTGTTTTTAGGTACTACGACCGCGTCTATATCGAGAAGACGCTCGACCTTGACGACTCACTCGTCAAAGAATACTTCCCCGTCGCCGTTGTCGTCCCAGCTATCCTCGAAATCTATCAAAACCTTCTCGGCGTCCGCTTCGTCGAGGTGAAAGGAGACAAGAAGGATGTCTGGCATCCCGGTAAGCACCCACTCAGCCCTTTTTCTTTGCCGCTGACGACTCCCTCCAGAGGTCCAGCAGTTTGCCGTCTGGGAGGCCAACGCAAAGGATGGATCGGGCTTCGTCGGCTACTGCTACCTCGATCTCTTCCCTCGCGGTGCGTTCAGTCCCCCTTCAATCCTAACGCGAGCTCATACTTAACCTCGCATACAGACGCTAAATATTCACACGCCGCCGTCTGGCCACTCCTCCCTGGTTACGCCGCCCCCGAGAAGCCGAACGGCCGTGCATACCCGCTCGCGGCCATGGTCGCCAACCTCGCGAAGCCGACGCCCGACCGGCCCGCGCTCATGCGCCACGACGACGTGACGACGTTTTTCCACGAGATGGGCCATGTCTTCCACGGTCTGCTTTCGCGCGTTCAGTTCTCGCGCTTCCACGGCACGTCTGTCGCGCGCGATTTCGTCGAGGCGCCGAGTCAGATGCTCGAGAACTGGTGTTGGGAGCCCAAGGTGCTCGAGAAGATGTCGAGCCACTATGAGACGCAGAAGCCGCTGTCGCCTGAGCTGATCGACAAGATCATCAGGAGGTGCGTTGGTGGTTACCTTCTTTGCTTGCAGAAGCTAACGACTGGGCGTGAGTAGCCGATACGTCAACGTTGGCCTGTTTTACCTCCGTCAGGTGTTCTTCGCCAAGTACGATCTCAAGGTCCACACGGACAAGGGTAAGCTCTACCTCTTTTATACCCGCTCGTGAATCTGCAACTTACAACGATCATCCCGCAGATGCCGCCGACACCACACTCCTATGGAACACGCTTCGCGAGAAGATCTCGCTCGTCAAGGGTGGTGCAGTCAAGCCGGGTCAAGGTACTTTTGCTCATATCGTCGGTGGCTACGACGCTGGCTATTATGGGTGCGTTTCCTCGATTGTTTCTCCTCCTTATCACTCACGCACATGGTCTTTATTTAGCTACACGTACTCGCTGGTCTTTGCTGCTGACATGTATGCCACCGTCTTCAAGAAGGACCCACTGAGCCCGGCACTTGGACAGCAGTACCGTGACGAGATCCTGCGCGTTGGAGGTAGTCGAGAGGAGCTCGAGTCGCTTGAGGTATGTTCACCAGTTTCACGTCTGAATTTGTGAACCTGGTACTTATCAATGTCACAGCACTTCTTGGGTCGCCCGCCAAACTCGGAGGCGTTCATGGAGGAGATTTTCGGGACGGAAAAGTCGAACTTGTAATTTTGTAGTATAGTAACTAGCAGCATTTGGACACACTGTTAATGACCCACCTATCGTTCCCACACTTATATGTTATATGAAGCGACCTGTCAACCGTTGATCGGACGCTTGATATAGCGGTTTTAGGTCAATTTGTGTGGTATGCCGGTCCGTACCAGCTGGCCCAGCTGGTTTTAGGACTGGACTTAGCCACAGAACAGAGAAAGCGCGTCCAGGTCCCTTTGCTGACTAAACGCCTTGAGTCATAGGCCACGTCATTCCCTCGGCAACTCTGGCCGAGGCTGAACCGTCGGTTCGGTGCCTTTGCCCGTCCTCCCGCCCCTTTGCTTACCGTCCGCCGCTCCCCCTGTTAATAATAGCCCCTCCCGCTCGTCGTCGCGGACGACGTCAACGACGTCTCGCTGTATCTCGCCCATCCCTTCACGTATAAACTTCGTTCTTTTACTATTATATACTAATTATACACCTGCGAGACGAATTATGTAGCTATTATGTGGCTAATCGTAGGGAATAGACCTCGCACTGAGGTGTTGAAGGTGAGGGGGGCGGGACTGCGAAACATATCAAATGGGGAAAGAACCGACACAGTTCGGATGGATTTAGCAGAACGCACCGTTGTTTCGGGTTGCTTCTCCCGCACGTGGCTGCATTCGGACATAATGCTGGGGCCCCTTCATATTACCCTTGGCGCCCCTCACACAACGGCCGTTGTCGGCGCCCGCGGCGTTGAAGACGTCCGCAGCGTCTGTGCTGGCGAGTATCACGTCGTTGGCGCCTGCGTCGTCGAAGGGAAGGGGACCAGGGGAGGGGACCATGGCGCGGAAGGGCGGAGGTGTTCATCGGAACAGCGGGACGGAACACCTCGGAATCAATGGGACAGATTTAGTGAGTCGTGCCGTTGTTTGGGTTCCGCTTCCTATTGCGATAGTCGGCCTTATGCCGATGCCGACTCCCCTTTCCCGTTGTCCCATGTCCAGTCCTCGTCGTCCTCGCCCACGACGTCGACGTCCCAGCCCACAGCGTCGAATGGCTCATCGTCGATGACAGCGCGTATGGCGTGTCTCTCGCCCGTGGTTACCCAACCTACATGAAGCCGCCAATACCGGAAGTGAGTGATGTGATATGTAGTCAACGTAATCAGCGCCTAACGGACATATTCCCATTCGGTGATATTCCCTTCCGGTTTCGCCCTTGCTTTTCTCCCTTCCCCTCCTCCCGCGTCGAACACTACAGCGACGAGCCTGGCGCTTGCACGCCCCCCTTTGCATCCGAACCTCACGCAAGTCGCTCATGGGCAAGTCCGCCAAGTTCGCCGTCCGTGGAACCTCAAGGAAAGTGAAGTTCTATGGCAACAACAGCAGGAGGGTGCAGACCTCGAGCACAAAGGCTCTGAGCAAGCGCCAGCGAGAAGCCGCCCAGGCGCGACAGAAAGCGGTTCAAGGTGAGTTCCCAATTTTTCTCAAATTTTCTCCCGTTGGTTTTCATTCTAATCTGCCTAGCTATGACATACGAGGAGCGAGAGGAGTTCGCGAAGGATGCCCCACCTGCCGACACCTCCTTGCAACAAGACGATACCATGGACTTTGACCAGGTACTCCCAGCACCGGGAGACGAAGGCTTTGTGCAGAGCCACGAAGGAGGTGAGTTCCAGCTATACAACGATCTCAAAGCCATGCTCTCGGAATCTCGGTGAGCATGTTCTTTATCCGCCCCTTCCATCTGACTTAATTTGCTCTAGGGCGAAGCGCTACGACGGGCGCGATCGCAGCAGTCGGGTTGCGGATGCGGCTGCAAAGTGGGACGTTCAGTACGAAGAACTCGCCGATGCGTACCTGGAATGGCAAGCCACTCCCCTCTCCCCAACCTACCCCTCTCCTCTCGACGGCGCGACTAGCACGTCCCCGACCCCTTCACCACCAGCCGCCTCCGCGGAGGCTATCCCCGAGGGCACCGCATCCGAGCCTCAACCCGAAGCTTCAGCCAATCCGTCTACATTCCGCATTCAAGCCGTGGATATATTCGGTACGAGTCCTCTTCCGCCCATTTCGCATGCTGACGTCTACTGCAGATGATCAAATTGCCGACATCCGCCACGTGTCCCCCTTCCTCAACGTGAGTCTCGTCCGACATGGCCTCGTGGGATGCAGCCCCTCTCAGCCGACCGTCGCTATCTCGCTCCGCACCCTCGAAACCTACCGGCAGACCCATCGGGTCTGTCCGCGTATGAGCATCCAGGCACAGGCAAAGATGCTGTGTCACATGCACGGAGTAAGGTACGCGTTCCGGATGATCGCTCAGCCCGCTAACGTCCGCCTAGGTCCCGTATCGTGCCTACCTGTCCTACCAGTTTCGCGACGCCTACGATGTGTACCTAGAAGTCCTCCGCCGCGTGGATCAACGCATCGCCGCAGTCCTCCATCACGATAGCCCGCATTGGCGGATGCGCAACTCGTGCCCAGCATGTCAATATCATCTTCAGGACGAGCCCCCCCTCCGATTCAGCTTACTTTGCGCCATGGACGGCAACAATTCTCTCAAACTCGTCGACCCTCGCATTCGCTCTGGGAAGGAGCGTCCCGATCCTCGGTCTGGCTGCTCGGACATCTGGCTCAGCGAAGCCTACGTTGACCAATACAAAGACAAAGTCTCGAGCTCCCAGACCCCCTTTCCTCCGCCCATTTCTTCTGACGATTTTGATCCCGATGCATCCGACTTACCCCCAATTGACGCAGGCGATCCCACGGAGGTTTGTACCGACCGGTGGAGGAACTCCGCTCCAGAGGCGAAGAAGAAGATGTTCGCTGTATTCAAGAAATCCGGCATCTTCATCTCTGTCTGCAGACATGGTATCCTCCTCAGCATCTGCGACATGGTGCGGAGTGGTGAATTGTGAATATCCTATTCTTCTCTTATGTTCGGCTTCCTGACACATTCTATTATAGGCAAACAGCTAAGGGTATTAGGGTTAGATTAGGGTGTGGGTGAACAATTTCACAGGATCTGTGTGATTTTGGCACAATGACCTCCCCCAAAATGACACAATGTCATTTTGGGGGGAGACAAAATTCACAAAACACAGTTTGTGTGTGTTTAATGCCCCCAAAATGTCATCATGACATTTT